TGTTAGAATCATTGGGGTGATTTAGAATGTTAATACCTGGGCCCTACCTCTGTATATTTTGATTCAGTGTATCTGGGGTATGACCTGGGCATGGGAATTTTTTAAAGCTCCCAAGATAATTCTAATATGAACACAGTTAAAAAACCATTATAGCTGCCTACAGGAATACAGAGAGGAGAGGAACACCTCTTTTGGTAGTTGAATGATGTCTTAGGGTAGCAGACAAATTCAGAATGTGGGATTCTTTGCAGCCTTATTACTCAAAATTTGGTCTCCAGACCAGCAGCAATCAGCATCACTTGGATGTTTGTTAGATGTACAGTTTCTGGCTCCACTGGACCTGCTGAATCAGGATCTGCATTTTAATAAGATCCTCAGTGATTCATCTGCACATTCAAGTTTGCAAACATTGCAGACTTTAGAGAAGGAAGCAGGGCTTGCTGACTGGCTAAAAAACAGGCCTGGGTGCTAGGAAGAAAATCAAGAGTGTCAGCATGGGAGGAGGGCCTCACCCATGCGAGATACTTCTGAGAAATTGAGCAAAATGAGGCCAAAGAAATAATCACTGGCTTTGTTAATGGAGAACACACAAGCAGTCTTTACAGGAGTGGTGTCAGTGGAGTGGCTGGGGCAGCAGCCAAGTAGGAAAGAGTGAGAAAGGACTATAATATGCAGACACCTCTTGAGAGAAGCTGTGCTATAAATGGAACAGAGATGTGGAGCAGAGGCGGAAGGAGATGCTAGAGAAAGTTTAAATGGTGGTAAGAGTGAGCCAAATACTTTCCAGCTCATTTTATGAGACCAGCATCACCCTGATACCAAAGCAAACAGATACGACATGAAATGAAAACTCTAGCCCAGGTTCTCTTATGAATATGAATGCAAAAGTCCTCAACAAAATACTTGCATCCCAATCTAGCAGCAAATAAAAAGAGTTAAACAGCATGACCAAGTGGAATTTATCAGAGAAATGCAATATGAATTTAACAGTTGAAAACTAATGTAATACATGATATTAATAGACTAAAGGACAAAATTCACATGAGTTCAATAATTGCAAAATCATTTGACAAAATATAATGAATGCCCTTTCTGATAAAAATACTCAGCGTCTAGTAATAGAAAGGAATGTCCTCAACCCAGTAGGTCATCGGTGGACAATCCAATGGCTGACATCATAGTTAATGATGAAAGACTGGATGCTTTCCCCCAACACCAGGAACAAGACAAGGATGTGCACTCTGGCCACTTCTATTCACCTTTGCCCTCAAGGTTCAGCCAGGACACCTGGGCAAAAAAGAGAAATAAAATGCATCCAGATTAGAAAAGAAGATATAAAGCTATCTCTCTTTCCAGATAACATGATCTTGGATGTAGAAAATCCTAGGGAATCCAATTTAAAGTATATATATTAGGATTAATGCAAGTTCAGCAAGGTTGCAAGATACAGGATCAACATATAAAAATAAACTGTGTTTCTATACACTAGCAATGAACAATGTGTAAATGAAATTTCACAATAGCTTCATAAAGAATAAGATACAAATAAACTTAACAAAAGAAGTAAAGGGCTTCTACACTGGAAACTGTAAAACATTTTTGAGAGAAATTAAAGAAGATCTAAATAAACGGAGGGCTTCCCTGGTGGCTCAATGGTAAAGAATCTGCCTGCCAATGCAAGAGATGCAGGTTCCATCTCTGGGTCAGGAAGAGCCCCTGTCGAAGGAAACCCACTCTGGTATTCTTGCCTGGGAAATCCCATGGTCAGAGGAGCCTGGCAGACTACAGTCTATGGGGTCTCAGAAGAGTCGATCACAACTTAGCGACTAAACAAACAACAACAAATAAATGGAAAGGTATCCCATGTTCATGGATCAGAAACCTTAATATTATTGAGTCAGTTCAGTCATTCAGTTGTGTCCAACTCTTTATTTCCCAAATTGATCTACAGATTCAACACAATCCCTATCAGAATCTGAACTTTTTTTTTCTCCCAGAAATTGACTGCTGATTCTTAAATTTATATGTGACAGTGAAGGATCCAGAATAGCCAAATAATACTGTAAAAGAAGAACAAAGTTTTAGGACTTAACACTTCCCAATTTCATAACTTACAAAGCTACAATAATCACAACAATGTGGTACTGCTCAACATGCAGATCAATAGGACAGAATTGAGAGCCAGAAGTAAACCCTTACATTTATGGTCAGTTGATTTTCAACAAGAGTAACAGGGAGAAAAAAATAGTCTCTTCAACAAATAGTATTAGGACAACTGGATATCCATATGAAGTGAACCCCTTCCTCATACCAACCATTTAGAAAAATTAATTCAAAGTGGATCAAAGATTTAAATGTAAGAACTAAAACTCCTAGAAGAAAACATCGGAGTAAATCTTCATGACCTTGAACCAGGCAATGGTTTTTTTTGGATACAACATCAAAAGCACAGCTATAAAAGAAAAACAGAAGACTGGACTTTGTTGGAATTAAAACCGTGTGCTGCTGGAGAAGGAAAGGGCAACCCACTTCAGTATTCTTGCCTGGGAAATCCCATGAACAGTGGAACCTGGTGGGCTATAGTCTTTGAAGTTGCAAAGAGTCAGACATGAATGAGCACACACACACAGGCACAATAGTAATATCAACTAACACTCAAAAAACATTTCCTAAGAGCCTTTCCTGTTCTAAACCTCTTATTTAAACAACAACAACAAATTGTGCTGCAAGTAATAACGTGAAAGTGAAAAGACAACTCAAAGAACAGGAAAAAGTAGTTGTGAACCATAAAGGTCTGAGCGACTGAACTGAACTGATCCAGAATATGAACAACTCAATAAAACCACTCAATAGTAAAAAAAAATAAATAAAAAAAAACAAGATAAATAGCCTAATTTTCAAATGGAGAAAGAATCTAAATAGACATTTCTCTGAAAAAGATACACAATGGATAGTAAGCCCATGAAAAGATGCTCAACCATTACTAGTTTTTGCTGCTGCTAAGTCGCTTCAGTCGTGTCCGACTCTGTGCGATCCCATAGAAGGCAGCCCACCAGACTCCGCCGTCACTGGGATTCTCCAGGCAAGAACACTGGAGTGAAAAAAAAAAAAAGAACACTGGAGTGGGTTGCCATTTCCTTCGCCAATGTGTGAAAGTGAAGTCGCTCAGTCGTGTCCAATTTCTAGCGACCCCATGGACTGCAGCCTACCAGGCTCCTCCGTCCATGGGGTTTTCCAGGCAAGAGTACCGGAGTGGGGTGCCATTGCCTTCTCCTACTAGTTTTTAGGGAAATGCAAATCAAAACCACAATGAGATGCTACTTCACACCCACTAGGATGATGTCTATAATCAAAAAGGCCGACGGCAACAAGTATTGGCAAGAAGGCAGAGAAACTGGAACCCTTATACATTGCTGGTTGGGATATACTGCTGGTGGGGATGTAAAGTGGTGCAGTCGCTTTGGAAGACACTTTGGCAGTCCCTCAAATGATTAAACATAGAGTTACCATATGTCCCGGCAACTTGATTCTAAGTATATACCCAAGAGAAGTGTAAATATGTGTTCACACGAAAACTACACAAGTGTTCATAGCAGCAGCAGTCATAATAGTCAAAAAGTGGGAAGAAGCCCAAATGTTCCTTGGTTGATGAATGGGTAAATAAAATGTGGTTAAATCTATATCGTGAACTTTTTTTTTTTTTTTGGCAGTTGAAAGGAAGTCTGTTAGATGTTACAACATGGATAAACCTTGAAAACATGTTAAGTGAAAGAAGACAGTCACAAAAGAGCACATATTATATATGATTCCAATAATATGAAATTCTCCAGGCAAGAATACTGGAGTGGGTAGCCATTAGCTTCTCCAGGGGGTCTTCCTGACCCAGAAATTGAACCCGGGCCTCCTGCATTTCAGGCAGATTCTTTACATTTAGGTTACAAGGGAAGCTCCATGAAATTCCCAGAGGACACAGTAGATTAGGGGTTGCCTAGGGTTGAGTGAATGACTGCTAATGGATATAGGGTTCTTTTTGGGGGGGGGGCGGGAGTGACAAGCATGTTCGAAAAATAGATTTAGTGATGGCTGCACAATTCTGTGAATATACAATCGACCCTCGAACAATGTAGTGGTTAGAGGTGCCAACCCTCTGCACAAGGTAAAATCCAAATATAACTTTACAATTGGCCCTTCATAGCCATGGTTCCACATCCTTAGATTGAACCAACCACAGGTCATGCTATATACTGTAGTATGTATATATTGAAAAAAAATCAGGGACATCCCTGGTGATCCAGTGGGCAAGACTGTGCTCCCAAAGCAGGGGGCCCAGATTCAGTCCCTGGTTGGGGAACTAGATCCTGTGTGCCACAGCTAAGATTCAGCACAGCCTATATATATATAAAAGTCTTTATTGAATTTGTTATGGTATATTTCTATTTTTATGTTTTTGGCTTTTTGCCCATGAGGCACCTGGAATCTTGGGCATGTGGTATCTTATCTCCCCAACTAGGGATCAAACCTGCACCCTCTGAATTGGAAGGTGAAATCTTAACCACTGGACTGCCAGGGGAGTCCCACAAAAATAAATATGAAAAAGAAAGAAAGAAGTCAGCCTATAAGTGGACCCATGCAGTTCAACCCAGTGTTGTTCAAGGGTCAGCTACTGAAACCACATTCAGTTTTATACTAAGGGTCAACTCTATGGCATGCAAATAAAGGTATTAAACAAAACAGAATGATCTGGCAGGGAGGGGAACCAATGCAGAAGCAAATTCCACCAGACAGTAAGGGATCTGGTCCAGAAGAACAGGGACCCCAATTGTAATCATCACTCCTGCTCCACTTTGTTGATGAAGAGACCAGTAGAGCCAGTGCGTTAGCCATGCTCTCAGGGACATGGCCTCTGCCCAGGAGAGAGGTCTCATCGCCTTCAGCGGGTGGGCTGCCAGACTGATGCTGTCTCTTTTCTCTTGCCAGGTGGTTGTCCGACAGGCAAAGGCATGAGCTGGGCCCAAGCCATCCTGCTGGCCCGGGGCCTCTCTCGGGGCTGGGGGGGCATCTGCAGCACTGCCCTCACAGGAGCCCCCTTCTCTCAGGTACCCGCTAGTCTTGGGTGGGGGGCGGGAGGAGGAAGAGACAGGCAGGCCTGGGATCTGCTCCCAAGCCCTCACTGTACACCCAGTGAAGCCAGCTTGAAGAGCGGAGGGGAGAGGGGAGAAGGAGGGGAGTTTGTGGGGCCAGGTCTGGCTGGTCTGTCTGCCTTGGGTGCTAGTTGAATGTCTCTTACTCATTGTGCTTAGTCACTCAGCTGTACCCGATTCTTTGGGACCCCACGGGCTGTAGCCTGCCAGGCTCCTCTGTCCATGGGACTCTTCAGGCAAGAATACTAGAGTGGGTTGCCATGCCCTCCTCCAGGGGATCTTTCCAACCCAGGGATCAAACCTGGGTCTCCTGCATTGCAAGCAGATTCTTTACCCTCTGAGCCACCAGGGAAGCCCAAGAATACTGGAGTGGGTAGCCTCTGCCTTCTCCAAGGGATCTTCCTGACCCAGGGAACAAACTGGGGTCTCCTGCATTGCAGGTGGATTCTTTACCTACTGAGCTATCCAGGAAGGCCCTCCTACTCTTTTTTCTTTTTTTTTGGCTGTACGACATGACTTGCAGGATCTCAGTTCCCTGTCCCCAGCAGTGACAGTGCTGAATCCTAACCACTATTCCACCAGGGAGCTCCCATGTCTCTCACTCATTTTAAGAAGTGTTGGTGAACTTCCCTGCTGGTCCAGTGGTGAAGAATCTGCCTTACAATGCAGGGGATGTGGGTTCCATCCTTGGTCTGGGAAGATTCCACATGCCCCAAGGCAACTAAGCTGGCATGCCACTAAAGATTTAATGGGCCACAACGAAAGATCCTGCATGCTTCAACTAAGACCTGACGCAGCCAAATAAATCAATACATATTTTTTTTTAAAAAGTGTTGGTGTCCCCATGGGTGAAGGTCTTGAATTTAAAATTAAGAAGGTCTGAGGTAAGTGGGTTTGGGTGGTGACTCTGGTTAGCTCCTGCGTTTACTTGTAAAGATGTGAGCAGAAAATCGAATTTCCTTCCCTTACCCTAAGTGATGATGACCATAAATTACAACAAAGATGAAGATGATGGTGACAGTATTAATAGCTCCCTTATTGAACACTTCCGGTGGCCCAGACCCTGAGTTATGCTTTTCACTTGCATCATCTCATTTGTAGTGTCTTCCCCTTCTTTGGGGCATTCTAGAATTTGCTTTTCTGCTTCTTTCCCTATGCTTATATCACCTGTAGCAGGGCCTACACTTTCACTTTAGCTGAGTGCTTTTTTTAATCCCACCTAAGCAGGATATGGGGTGGTTACTGGCTGCAGTAGTACTGAGGGCCCCAGTCTCAGCTCTGCTGCTGTGCAGCTTCATGACACCAGGCATCTTGTCTCATCTTCTTGGGCTTCAGCTTCCTCTTCTGTAAAGTGGATACATGAAGAGGCACTCCTTTGATGGACAGTTGGAAAGATTAAATGAGCCTCACTCTCAGAAGTGCTCCACAATGCCTGGAACAGAAGACTATTCCATAAGGGACTTCCCTGGAGGTCCAGTGATTAGGACTCACCTACTGCCAGGGCCCAGGTTCTATCCCTGGTTTGGCAATTAGTTCCCTCAAGCCATACAGCACAACCGAAAAAAAGTAAAAGGACACTTGTTGACCGCAAGGGAGCTGAGACAAGAAGGCAAAGACTCCTCTTGTTCCACTTTAGCTGGGAATATAGGTGGTGGGCAACTCAACTACATGTGTCTGCAAATGGCCAGAAAACGCCTTGAGTATTAGCTTTTGAATTACAAATGAATTTTAGCAAGTAGGCAAATTCTCAAACATGGAATCTGCAAATAGTGAGGACCAAATATATATATCAGCTTTTGTTTTTTAACACAAATGGGATGCTACTGTACACACTGTTTCACACTTTCCTTTTTTTCATTTAATGTTATACTTTGGAGCTCACTCCTGGTCACAGGACCCTTCCTCCATGTGTCTTACAGCGGTGGGTGCTCCTTGTCCAGGCACATAGCCACTTACTTAATTTTTTCCTTGCTGATGCATATTTGGTCCATTTCTACTGATGCAGCCGATGCACAAATGTCATCTGAGGCAGATATGTTTAGAGCAGTCGTATTTAAATACCAGATGCAAGATTGCTGTATCAGAGGGTGTTTGTTCATCTCTGGTGAACACTGCCTCCACTGGGATGTTACCATAGCGGTCTGGCTATGGTAACTGATAACTTTGTGATGGCGCCTGGTCATGGGTCTGTAACCAGGGCACCATAGTTCTTTGGAGACCATTAGGGATACCCGCTGGCACCTTTCCCAGCAAAGAGCCGGCTGAGCAGGGCACCAGGAGGCGCCAGGTTCCAGCGGTGGTTCCCCGTCCGCAGGTGCCACCCCAGGCCCCACGGGGCCTCCGCTGCAGTGCAGCCGCCCACAACCCTGACTCGTCGCTGGTCCCACGCCCACCCGAGCCCCCCAGGCGGCCCGTCAAGGCCCTGGCAGTCCACGAGGAGCTGTTTAGGCCGGCGCTGGATGGAACACGAGACAAGGCGAACTTCGTGCAGGCGGTGCAGAACTTCGCCCAGTACAACGTGCACAAGCGCGGCCACGTGGACTTCATCTACCTGGCCCTGCGCAAGATGCGAGAGTACGGCGTCGAGAGGGACCTGTCTGTCTACAACCTGCTCCTTGATGTCTTCCCCAAGGAGGTCTTCCGGCCTCGCAACATCTTCCACAGCATCTTCCTCCACTACCCACGGCAGCAGGAGTGCGGGATTGCAGTCCTGGAGCAGATGGAGAACCACGGTGAGGCCCGCAGGCTGGAGTGGGGCCAGGGGCTGCCTCCCTCTCCCATGTCTCTGCCCTCTACCCACTCCGTGGTTCCTCGGCTCTGACCTCTCCTCTCTGCCTCTCAATCTGGAGTCCACCTCTGCCCACCCACCCTCCATCTCTGTCATCTCTCTCTGTCCTGTCATCCCTTCCCTCTTCTTCTCCCTCCCTGAGGCTCTGCCTGCATCTGCCTACCACAGGGGTGATGCCCAACAACGAGACGGAGTTCCTGCTCATGCAGATATTTGGCCGCAAAAGCTATCCCATGCTCAAGCTGGTGCGCATGAAACTGTGGTTCACCCGCTTCAAGAATATCAACCCTTTCCCCGTGCCCCGGGACCTGCCCCAGGACCCTGTAGACCTGGCCAGTTTGGCCCTGCGGCACATGGAGCCTGATCTCAGCGCCAGGGTCACCACCTACCAGGTAGTCACCCCGGCCACACTTTCGTCCACCTTCCCAGGGCCAGGCCCCCTTCAGGAACTGAAGTGATTCTGGAAAACAGGCCCTGATTCCCTGGTGGAGCCTTATCTAGATTCCAGGGCCCTTGGCCCAACTGGACCTCTACTCCTACCCCACCTCCCCACACTCACTGTATTCCAGGCATGGCCTTCCTCTTCCTTGAGGGGTCTATGGCAGCTCCCTTCTCAGTGATGCATCCAAGGTCACGCAGACAGTGGCAGAGGCAGGATTTTCACACGGGTGGGCTGGCTCCAGGGTTCCCTCCTCATGAGCATCCCCAGGGTCAGTGGCTTTGGCTCAATCTGAGAGAAGCAAGAAGGTGGTGGTCTTGATTGATGTGTGGGAGGCCCAGTATTTAGGCCTCAGAGGGGCCCTGAAAATTCACTAGAATCCCCCTTCCCCATCTCTCTCTCCCCCCACTCCCCGTAGGGGCTGTGGGGGCCACAAGTGTCCACCCCTGCTTTCCTTACAGATGCCTTTGCCGAAAGACTCCCCTGACACAATGGATCCTACAGAGACCCATATCGTAGGTAAGGCCCCATGGAGGGAGGGGTTGCTGCATTCTCACTGAGCCTGCTGGGAGAGCTCTATGGGCCTTGGGGCACAGCCCCTGAGCCAGAACTACCCCCCATCCCCACCCCATGTGTGTGTGTCTCCACACCAGGGATCCAGAGTCCTGAGCAGCAGAGCGCCCTGGCCCGCCACGACCCAGCCCGCCCAATCTTCGTTGAGGGCCCCTTCTCCCTGTGGCTTCGAGACAAATGTGTCTACTACCACATCCTCAGAGCTGACTTGCTGCCCCCTGAGGAACGGGTGAGGGCCCAAAGTGGAAGTCAGGGCAGTGGGAAGAGTGAGTTGGCTCAGAGGTGTGGAGGGGGACGAGGGGATGGGGGGACGGGAGGGCAGGGAACAGGGAAGAGGCCACAGGTAGCTTCAAGACCCGGTGCCTCTGACTCTGCCTGCACCGCCTCCGTGGGGCAGGAAGTGGAGGAGATTCCAGAGGAGTGGAACCTCTACTACCCGATGCAGCTAGACCTGGCCTACGGGAGGAGCGGCTGGGATGACTACGAGTTTGACATTGATGAAGGTAAAAACCGGGACAGGTCGGATTCTGAACACTGCACGGGATGGGGTGCCGCCTCTGGAGTGGAGGGCTGAGAGCCAGGCCAAGACCTAGTCCAGTTACACTCACCCCCACAGACCCAGCAGAGGCCCAGGTACACACACACACAAAAGCATGAAACTCCCCGCTCAGGGGCTCTAGACCTCTCAGCCCTCTGTCACTTCCTCCTTCAAACATCTGTGGAACATCCCTGTGCTGGCTTCTGGGCATGACCAGGACAGGTCCAGTCCCTCCCCTCAGGTCAGTGGTGGAACAGACATGTTACATTCTTGGGGTCCCTGGGAGGAGGTACACAACTCAGTCTCTGGTGGGAATCGGGAGGATTTCCAGTGGAACCCTGAAGAATCAAGAGGCATCACCCAGGTGAAGCGTGGAATGGGCAGGCTAGGTGGAGGGGATTGTGTGTGCAAAGGCTTGGACATACACAAAAGGCAAAGAGCTTAAAGAGTGTGGGCATGAGGGGGCTGAATAAACTGAGGGCCAGTCCCCACTGCACAAACTGAGGGCCTATCTCTCCCAACAGTGGAGGAAGGGCCTGTCTTTGCCATATGCGTGGCGGGTGCCCATGACCAGGCCACGCTGGCCAAGTGGATCCAGGGCCTTCAGGAGACCAACCCAGCCCTGGCCCGGATCCCGGTGGTCTTCCGCCTGTCAGGGTCCTCCGGGGAGCTCCTGGCATCCTCCTCAGAGCTGGAGGAGCCACCCCCGCCCCCACCCGAGGGCCAGGAAGAAGAAGAAGACAGTCAGCAGCGACAACAGAAGGGCCAGAGCTGACCCTGGGTGGTCATGAGAGCATAGTCCATGGACTGGTGAAAGCACGAGATGACTTTTGCGTGTACAGCAAATAAAAGTCTTCCTGCTTGGGGCTGCCTTGCCTCCTCTCTGGCAGTGTGGTGTCCCTGCCCCTTTAATGCTTGATGTCATGCCTTTTCAAGGGCTTTCCCGAACTGACAGCTCCCTTGTCATCCCCGCAGTGCATTCAGGATAACGGTACAGAGGAAGAATCCCCTACCCCCCGGGGGTCTACGGGTTCTCTTCGCTGTTTCCTCCCCAGTCAGCCTTATACCTTCAACTACCCCTTCCGCCTCTGTTTACTCAAAAGTTTAACAGAAGGGATTAAGAGGAGGGAGTTGTTGCAAGCGTTTGTTGTGCGCATGCGCAGCTTCTGCTCTCGGTCTCCTTTTGACGCCGAGGGGCAGTGAGAGTCCATCAGAAGTTTCCCGCCGGCGCGGAACATGCGCGCCACTTCCGGTCGGGCTCCTAACAACGGGGGAGGCTGGTAACCAGGGAGGGGGGGATGGCGGAGCGGGCGCCGGAGCCCGAGGCGGAGGCGGAGGCTGAGGCGGGAGCAGGCGGGGAGGCGGCCGCCGAGGAGGGCGCGGCGGGCCGCAAGGCGCGGGGCCGGCCGCGGCTCACGGAATCGGACCGGGCCCGGCGGCGGCTCGAGTCCCGGAAGAAGTACGACGTGAGGCGTGTGTACCTGGGCGAGGCGCACGGGCCCTGGGTGGACCTGCGGCGCCGCAGCGGCTGGAGCGACGCCAAGCTCGCCGCCTACCTCATCTCGCTGGAGCGCGGCCAGCGTAGCGGCCGCCACGGGTGAGGGGGCCCGGCCTGAGGGTGGGAGGGAGTGAGGGAGGAGACGCCCCCATCCCCGCTGAGCCTGGCCCCGCCCCATTTGCCCCCAGGCCCCGCCCCTGGCACCTGTGAGCTCCGCCCGGCGGCCGGCCTGGGTCTCCGACTGCAGGTCCTGGGACGCGCCTGGCTCGCGGCCCCGCCTCCCGTCTCTCCTACTGCCCAATCCTAGGATGCGTCCAGCCTCTCGACCGCCTCCTGGGCCCTTGGCCCCGCCCCCTAGGGCTCTGGCTGCCCAATCCTGGTATGGGACCCACCTCCAAGCATTCTAACGGCCCAGTCTCTGAAGGGGCGGCCCCGCCTCCCTGAAGCCTCACGGTTCCGAGGTCCCCACTGGCCCCAGAAACCTCAAAGGCCTCATCCCCTTAAACCTCCACAGTGTAGCCTGGGGCTGTGACTGAACATCCCAGGCCTTCCAGCCCTACCCGTCCTGAGGTTCCAGTGACCCACCTGGCATTGCATGGGGCCCACTCCCAGAAACCAAAGCCGCACACTCCAAGAGGACCCCTTACAATCCCTCAACCTCTTGGCTCTTGGGGAGCACCTCTGCCTGGGGAGACTCGGGTGAAGAGGAAACCCCAAGTTAGCTGTTCGGGTGGAGGGCTGAGGTCTTTACGGAACCTTGGTGTTAAAAATGACCTTTAAGGAAGGAATTCTTCTCTTTCTGCCTTATAGGTTGATGTGATGATTAAATGAGTTAAATTACACCCAAATGCTTAGAACAGTGCCCGGCACTTAGTGAGCTGTCTGGATATTAGCTGTTACAATGTTTATTTCCTATCGCAAGCAATGCTGCAACAAAACCCTGATCTGCCCTGGTTTTCACTTGTATACATTCACACGTTTCTCTCAGAGGAGATTCTGCAGATAAGGAATCAACCAGAACCTGCTGAATTATACTCACTCCCTCCCCAGGGTAGCAGACTGGCTTATATGCCCAAGAAAGAGCAGGGCAGGAAATGCCAGGAACTTATACAACTTCAGGCCAGCGTGGCAACTGTTGGAGTTTCTGATTCAGTTAGTCTGGGTAGAGGTGCAGATCCTATATTTTTTCTGAAGAGCTGAAGCTGTGTAGCTGGAGTTGAGAACCATTGGCCAGAGGGAGCCCCTGGAGGTTCCTAAGCTGAAAGTGGTGTTTACAGAAGCTTGTCTGACTGAGCTGGAGCTGTGTGGGCCTGCAGGACTGGGGCAGGGCACTGAGACACCCCAGGCTGTGTGTAGTGTGACAAAACCTGACCTTGGGGCACAACACATGAATATTCCAGAAAATACACTCAGGGATATTTCTTCCTTTAACCTGCATGGCAATTCTGTGTGGGAGGCACTGCAGTTATCCCCACTTCACAGATAAGAAAACTGAGGTCCAGAGGGGACAAAACCTGCTTGAGATTACATAGGCAGTCAGTAGCAAAGATGAGACTTGAACTCCGGTCTGAGTGACACCAAGCCTGTCTCCACCACGAAGTGAAGTTCCCCGCACCCCAGCCATGGTGAGGCTATGAATGGGTGGAAGTGGTCGTGGGTGTTTAGATTTGGGTTTGGGTGAGAATTGAGGCAACCAATCTGACCCCTTGGAGGGGAGGTGGAGCCATGGGAGGGCATAGAGGCTCCTGGGATGGGACACTGGGGCACGGATTCCTGGGCAGAGCCTGAGCAGGAGAGATAGAGGAGCCCAGAGGAGCTGTCCTGGGACCAGACGTGGAGTATGGGAGCTGAGACCTGTCATCAGGCTGGACAAGGGTCGGAGAGGGTGGGCATTGGAGCTGAAGAGAGACCCTAGGCCGGCTGTCAGGATATTTGTGGCAAGAGGGTGGTCCTAGCCACAGTAAGGAGACCAGTGTCCCAGGTCCTGGCTCTGTGACAATATTGAGAATCATAATGGTCATCATTGGCCTTCCCAGGTGGTTCAGTGGTAAAGAATCCACCTGCAATGCAGGAGACTTGGGTTCAATCCCCTGGAGGAGGATATGGCAACCCACGCCGGTATTCTTGCCTGGGAAATCCCATGGATAGAGGAGCCTGGCAGGCTAGAGTCCATGGGGTCGTAAAAGAATTGGACAAGACTGAGCGATTAAACAACAATGTGACCATTACCACCATTTACTGAGTGAATAATTACCAGGCTCTTTACAATGCCTATAACGTCAGTCGTGCCAACCCCATGAGGAAGGTACTGTTATGAGCCCCACTACACATGGGCAAACTGAGGCACGGGGAGGCAGGGTTGCTCACCCACAGTCCCAGAGCCTGCTGCTATGGTTTAGATGAGGAAGAGCAGAGAAGCAGTCTAAATCAGGTGGGCAGACCCTGAAGCATGGTGGCAGGAAGGTGGAGGGAGGCCCTGGCCAGTCCAGGAGAGATGGCTCTAAAGCATCTCAGAACCTGTGCTGGGCCACAGCTGGGAGGCCCACGTGGGGTCAGGAATCTGCTTGGCAAATCTGGTGGCCATCCTGGTACAGGAGACCATGGGATTCCCCCCGCCTTTGGGCTCCCCCAGGCCATGGCCCACTGGGGCACACAGTCAGTGTGGGGACCCAGGCAGGGTGGGGGAAAGCTCTGGAGGCAGGTGGACACGATGGCCTGGCCTTTGGGCAGGACCCTCGTCGAGCAGGCCATTAGGGCCTGACTGTCTCCCCAGGACTCTGGTCCAGCCTCAGGGGCAGAATGTACAGGACCTTGGATGGGGCAGTCTGAGGTCAAGTCTATGACGGTGCCATTGGGTAGCAACTGACTACAGACTCAGTGGCTTTAAAAGTACACAGATTTATGATCTCACATTCTGCAGGTCAGGTGTCTGGCACATTGTAGCTGAATTCTCAGCTCAGAGTCTCAAGGCTGAAATCAGAGTATCAGCCTGATATGCCATTGTTGCCTAGAGGCTCACCCAGGGAGAGACCTGCTTCTAAACTTGCTCAGAGCTTTGGCAGAATCCATTTCCTTGGGGCTGTACAGCTGGGGTTCCTGCAGTCTTGCTGGGCCATTTTCAGGTCCTGGCCCCTCACAGGCCCCTTGCTCTCTGTCTCCAGTCTCTGGCTTCAGCAGTGCATTTATTATTGTTATTATTATTAGTGTTACTCATTTACTTTTGGCTATGCTGGGTCTTGGTTGCTTCAAGGGTTTTTCTCTAGTTGTGGAGAGCGGGAACTACCCTCTAGTTGTGGTGTGTGGGCTTCTCACTGCAGTGGCCTCTCTTGTTGCAGAGTACAGACTGCAGAGTGCACAGGCTTCAGTAGTTGCAGCACATGGGCTCAGTAGTTGTGGCTCCCAAGCTCTAGAGCGCAGGCTCAGTAGTTGTGGCCGCAGACTTATTTGCTCCATGGCATGTGGGATCTTCCTGGACCAGGTTTCGAACCTGTGTCTCCTGCATCGACAGGCAGAGTCCTCAACATTGAGCCAGCAGTGCACTTTTAAAGTCTCCCCTGATTAGGTCAGGCTCCCCGAATAAACTCCCTCTTGATAAGTCTTCTCCCCAGCCTGGGGACCCTGGGCAGGCGGCCTCACGCTGAGGGCCTCAGTTTCCCACTCTGTGAGGTGGGTGATGATGGTAGACCACGTGCCAGGGCAGCAGAGCCCAAGTGAAGCCGCCGTGGGCAGCAGGCCAGGCCCAGGAAGCAGAAGTCCCACGCGAGCAGGATTAGGGTCTCCCCATCATCAGTCCCCAAGGTCACTCCCCACTGCCTCCCCTCTCTGTTACAGGAAGCCTTGGGAGCAAGTCCCCAAAAAGCCAAAGCGGAAGAAAAGTAAGTGGGCTGCAGCCCGGGTTGGGGTGGTGATGGGAGTAAGTGGCTCTGTGGCTGGTTCCCACCCTACTCCTTTGCCAATGGTTTATGGAGGGTCCACGCATGCCAGGTACCATGTGAGATGGGGCAGACCCAGCCCTGCCCTCCCAGAGCCCACAGTCTCATGGGAAAGATGGGGAGGGTGGGGGCAGGCCAAGCAGGCCTAGAGTGGGGATGTAGGGGCACCAGGAGGCCCATAGCAGAGGCCTGACCCAGCCTGGGGCTTGGGTGGGAGTGGGGCCAGGAAGGGTCGGAGGCAACCTGAACCAGTGCTGTGCCCAGCGGGAGTGCTCTCATTGCCCCCATCTGACCCAGAAAGGCTGAGTCACTGCCCCAGGCTGCACAGCCAGAAAGTGGCCAGGCCAGACCACAAACCCAGGTCCGTGTATCTCCCAAGGGGTCCCGTCCGCTCCTCTGCTCTCCTGCCGGGTGTGTGGGAGTCAGCCAGGGAGGAGCCAGGCAGAACAGAGGGAACTGCCTCTGCCCCAGCCTACAGGGCCTGTGGTGTGCCTGGCTCAAGGGGGGCCAGGTGTGGACTGTTGGAACAGAGGCTGGAGCTCCTGGTCCCAACCCCCTGACCAAGACCCCCAGCCCTGGGGCAGTGGGTCTTAGGCCATGTCCAGCAGGATGAGGGCCTGTGGTCCAGGGACATCCGTCTGATGGCAGTGAGCCCCTCCCCTTCCCCTTCTCATGTTCCGACACAGAAGCTGAGCTAAGACCGTGACTCCCAATCCCAAAGGAGATAAGGAGGCAAGTGATGGGCGGGAGAGGTGACTGCTGGTGATACCCCATGATCATCACTGGGTTGGTGGCACCAGCACCAACCCTAGCCCCCAGAACCTTTCCTAGACCCCCTCATCATCCCCCAGCCTGGAAAGTCAAGGGCACACCTTCCTCCCCATCAGCTGCAGGACTAGGATCATCACAGGAATCTTAGGTACCATTACCTCTCCTGGGCCCTATGGATGTCATCACTCCCTGCCTCTGGCAGCCCTCAGAAGGGAACATTATCCTCCCCCGGCCCAGAAGGGGAATCTGAGGTTCAGAGAAGCTGAGTTGCTTACTGAGAAATGGCAGAGCTGGGATTTTAGCCCAGGCAGTCCAGCTCCAAGGGTGAGGGGCAGGGTAGGTATCTGGGGGAGGAGAGCAGAGCCCTTGCAGAGGCCCTAAGGCTGGACCATACTTCTGCAGGTGAGGATCTGGGAGGAGGCCCTGAGCCTAGAGTGGACTGATCAGGGGAGCAGTGGGAGGAAGTGATGGCGGGAGGTGACGGGGCAGGACACGCAGGGCTTGGGAAACCTTGGGGAGGCCTTTACCGCCGGTGAGATGGGAGCCCCGGTAAATTATGAGCAGAGAAGGGTGGTGACTTGGCCTAAGTGTTCAGAGGTGCCTTCTGTTGGCCGTGGTGGGTAGGGGCAGAGGTGAAAGCTGGGAGACCAGGGTGCAGCAACTGAGCTGGGCAGGCGGGAGACGCTGAGCTGATGAGGACAATCCTAACTATAACTGGCAGCTGACAGTTGCCGCGCACCTGCCAGGCACCAGGCTTTGTCGTGTATGAGACTCGAGCCCAACAGTGAGGACTGTCCCTGGCCAGCCTCTGTTGTCTCCAGGGCAGGTCTCATATTTCTGAGCCTCAGTTTCCTCATCTGTGTACTGGGGACAGGCCCAGCCAGGACTCGGGAGGGTGTCTTAACCTCCTCTTATGGGAGCCATAAGGCCGAGGATGGTTCTGGGCCCTGCTGCTGGGCAGGGTTGGGGGGCCAGCACTGCCCCTCACGCTGCCCCGGGCCTGCATGCGCAGGGCGGCGACGCAATGTGAACTGCCTGAAGAACGTGGTGATCTGGTACGAGGACCACAAGCACCGCTGCCCCTATGAGCCACACCTGGCTGAGCTGGACCCCACCTTCGGCTTGTATACCACGGCTGTGTGGCAGTGTGAAGCCGGGCACCGCTACTTCCAAGACCTGCACTCCCCGCTGAAGCCGCTCAGCGACTCGGACCCCGAGAGTGACAAAGGTGGGTCTGCTGGGGGAGTAGAGAGGGCGCACCATGGCCTGTGGGGTCTGGGGCCCTGCCAGCATCAGGCCAGCATCACAGACCTCACAGCAAGTAACACAGCCCTGGTGCTGGGTGACTGTACCATCCTTGAGTCCGTACAGAGCCCGAGAGCTGGTGTCCATTCTGCGAAGGGACCACCAGGGCGTGGCGCAGTGTGCCCAAGGTCAGGGGCAGGCGGGCTGGGATCCAGGAACCCCGCTCAGCGGCTGGAGGGACTGGCAGGTGCTGGGCCTCTCCTGGCCTCTTTGTTCTCCTTTACTTCCTCCGGCTCTTTCTCAGGAACCTCACCCTCTTGCCCTCCCTTCAGCCTGTTCGCCTTCTCCCTATGCCCCATTCTCTGCTCTTGACCTTTCTCGGTTCCCACTTCCCCCTCTTATCTTTCTGTATTTCATCCTCACTCTCTCTGCCCCCCCCACATCATCTCCTGCCTTTTTCTTCTTCCCCTCCACTGTCTCTCCTCCATCTCACTCCCCTTTTCATCCCTTTATCCCTCCCCCACCACTGGCCCCGCCCGCTCATCTCTCACTGCCCCAGTCCTTCACCTGCCATCCCACATCGCGCGCGCACACACACACACACACTGCCTGCTCAGGACTAGGAGGGCCCTGTTGGCTCTGGTGGGGGAGCAGAGGAGACGTTGTGGGTGGTGAGGGGCTGCCCACCTGCCTCAGGGCCTTGGCATCAAAAGGAACCTGGGGCCCACGGCCAGGCCCCCTGCTGGAGCTGAGGGTGGGGTCAGCCACCAGGGCTGGCAGGCATCTCTGAGCAGGTGGCATCCCAGCTGGCCAAGGGGAAGCCGTGGGCGAGAGGTGTTCCGGGTGGGCACCCCGGCCAACGGCTGTCCCATGGTGTGTCAGCCAGGCTCCCAGAGAGCAGCCAGCCCCATGGCCATCTTGTCCCCCTGGTGCCAGGCCCTGCCCTGAACCACCCTGGACCCTCCCCACTGCCCCGTCATTAGCAGTTGAGGAAACCAAGGCTCCTGGGAGTCACATGACTGGCCCATCTGGCTCTGTGTCTGGCTAGGTTGGGGGTGGTACCCAGAAGGGTCCCTTGACGGCCCAGCCCAACTGTGACACCAGTGGCTTCTGGATCTGGGCTCTCAGGAATGAATGCTGGGAGCAATTGGCCGGGTCTGCTGTAAGCACTGGCCAGGGGGGAGGGGGAGGGAGTGGCTGTGTCCCTGTGCCAGCCCTGGCCCCTCAACAGCACCCTTACCAGCTCTCTGCCAAGGGAGGACCTCCCACCAGGACCAAGGGATGCTGGTGGGTGCACGGCCAATTCTGTCACTAATGTCATTGTTAACTGGCAAGAAGTCTAGTGTCCACTTAACAGCTGGACATTGTCACTGGGGATCCAGGCACACGCCCTGGCCAGGCCCCAACTCTCTAAGAAGCTTCCCCCTCTCCAGGGTGGAGCCACAGGGCTCAGTTCACCCTAAAGATTACAGAGTGTTAGAAGAAGGGGCAATCGGGACTTCCCTGGTGGTCCAGCAGCTAAGACTTCCCTTGCTCCCAATGCTGGGGACCTGGGTTTGATTGCTGGTCAGGGAACTAGCTCTTACATGCTACAACTCAAGATCCTGAGTGCTGCAACTAAGACCCAGTGCAGCCAAATAAATAAATATTTATTTAAAAGAAAAAAAAGGAGGGGCAATCCCCCCCACCCTATGCCTGCTGCTGCCTAGGGATGAGTCAAGGATGGGTGAGGGAATATTATTATTCTATAATAACTATGATGGGAAACACTGATGAGGTGCTTACCATAAGCCCTATTGTCCTATTTACTCATTTAAATACCCCCAGACACCCCCTGGGTAGGTGCCAAGTTAGCCCCAGGCCCAAAGAGGTTAGCAGGCACCCTCACTTTACATAGGTGGAGGAATGGGCACTGGGATCCCCCTCCAGAGCCTGTATTCGCCACATGACCCTCTGGGAGTGTAGATGTGATGTGTAGTACCCAGACAGTATACCCCAGCTGTGTCTTGAGTGAGTAACTGAAGGGACAGTCATTCATCTGTCCAGTCCCCAATTTCTTCCTGCGTGTGGATATTGGTACCAAATGCCTGGGTAAGATGCCCAGCCCCCTTGGCCTTCATCACGGCCTTGGTCTTGGGTTCCCTCATTCTTACAAACTTGAGCTCAATGTGGACCAATCAGCTGGCACCCTGTGCACAGGGACCACCCCACCGCCCCATCTTTGTGGAGTTTACCGTCTAGAGAAGCAGACAGTAAACAAGATAAACAAGTAAAACCTAGAGTGCAGTGGAAGGTGGCAAGTATTGGGGGGAAAACAGGAGAGAAAAGGGTGCAATTTGAGACAAAGTGGTCCAAGGCATCCCTGAAGAAGTACCACTTGAGGAAAGTTGTGATGGAGGTGAGGGAGGAGCCCACGCAGGCATCTGCAGAAAGAGGATTTGGCAGAGTGAGTGGGCAGTGCAAAGGTCCTGAGGCAGAAACCTGCCCAGCATCCCTAGGTATGGAAGGGAGGTTAGTGGGGCTGGAGAGGAGGTGACGGGGGCAGATTGCAGGCTGTGTGGCCATGGAAGAGTTTGGCTGCTATGTCAAGTCAGTTGGGAAGGGCATTAACGGAGGTAAGGCCAGAGGCTGACAGAAATGCACCCCACATCCTGTGACCTGACACAGCTCACTTCCACTCTCCTTCCACTGGGACTCAGCTGGATCGCCACACCTAACAGCAAAGGCTACTGGGACATGTAGTCCACCAGGTGTCAGGAGGAAGAGACGGGTGCGGGAGAGGGGGTTGTTTGTTGAGTAGCTGGCCTCTCTTTTCCACAGGAAGCAATGAGCAGATTCTTAGAAAGGGAGGTGTCCTAAGCAGGTGTTCACAGGCTCCCTCTGACCCCTAAGGACAAGACAGACTTGCTGGGGGACAAGGATGGGAGCAGGGGCACCCAGGAGAAAGAAGTGCATGTTCTGGGCTGGTGGGACTCTGCCCAGGATTTCCGGGACGGGGGTAGGAGAAGCTGCCTGCCTGGGGATGTATTTTGGAAGCAGGGCCAACAGGTTTTGCTGACAGATTGGAAGTGGGTGTGAAAGGGAGAAGTCAAAGAGAGCCCCAGGACTTTGGCCTGAGCAACCGGACAGGCACAGCTGCCACTGCCTTAGATAGGGACATCTTTGAGCCTTTCTCTAAGGGGAAATTCAAAATAGAGTCTGAGACGCCCATAAGACCCCCCCACACCAGAGAGAGCAGTGGAGGACGCAGTGAGGCGTGACAGTCTGTCCCTCCGCAGGAGGCTCAGGTGAGAACTGTCCACTGGAGGCACCAGACTATGGGGAGAGATGGCACTATAATAAAAATAGATGCAGGCAGACCTCGGCGACATTGCAGATTGGATTCCAGACCACCTCGATAAAGCAAATATCGAACTAAAGTGAGACCCATGAGCTTTTTGGTTTCCCAGTGCATGTAAAAGTTATGTTTACACTAAACTGTGATCTGTTAAGTGTGCGATAGCATTGCAGGGGAAAAGAAAGGTACATTCCTTAATTTAAACATACTTTATTGCTGGGGAATTCCCTGGCAGTCTAGTGGTTAGGTCTCTGATCCCACTGCAGAGGGCATGAGTTTGATCCTTGGTTGAGGAATTAAGATCCTGCATGCTGCACACCTGGGGAACAGTCCAATGAAGTGACTCAGGGAGGAGCCCCTAGATAGCTTTAGGATGGGAGCCGGTCACCTGTGGCAGCTCTCAGCCCCGCCCCCAGCTCCCAGAAGCAGATGAGGGCTGGAGAAAGTGAACTTCACTCAGTCATGTCCGACTCTTTGTGACCCCATGGACTGTAGCCTGCCAGGCTTCTCCATCCATGAGATTCTCCAGGCAAGAATACTGGAATGGGTAGCCATTTCCTTATAAAAACTTTTGGGAATTCCCTGGCGGTGCAGTGGTTGAGACTCTGTGCTTCTACTGCAGGGGGCGCAAGTTCCATCCCTGGTCAGGGAACTAAGACCCTGCATTCCCCGCAGCGCGGCCGATGCATAAATACATAGAATTTTTAAAACTCTTTTAAACAGTGAGGTTCTGAGAGCTTCCAGGTTAGTGGACATGTTGAGGTGCTGGGTGTGTCTGTAGAGAGCCTGGCAGCTCCATGACAGACCACCCCCCACACACACACAATTACCTTGTCCTGAGTTTTTCTTCCATCTGGCAAATGCTGAGATGTATCCTTTCTAATAAAACTGTAATCAGAAGCATATCACTTTCTTGAGTTTTGTGAGTTGTTCTAGCAAATTACTGAAACTGAGCAGAGGGCTGCCTGAACCTCAGTTTTATAGCCGGAAGTGTGGGTTATTCGGGACTTGGGACTGGTATCTGAAGTGAGGGCAGTTTTGTGGGACCGAGCTCTTTAACATGCGGGGTCAGACACGGTCTCCGGACAGATGGTGTCAGAACTGAATCCAATTGTTGGACACCTGGCTGGTGTCCAGGAGGAGGGCGGTGTTTAATGCAGCCAGCCCAGCCAATATGCTGGGGTGAGTAGAGAGCTGAGGAGAAGCCCCAGCGAGAGCTTGCCAGGCCCATACGAACAGAAACGGCTGAGAAGGAGCCCCCGGGAGGGGCCAGGAAGCCTGAATGTGGGCCTGGGGGCTGAGGCAGGGGAGTACCCCAGCATGCAGGGGCAGCAGTGGAGGGCATGGAACTGAGCTGACCACTCTTACAGGGGAGTCGCAGTGCCCAGCCCCTGGGGCAGGGGGGCTTCAACAGATACCGGCTGCTGCTGTGGTACACTGTTGTAACCATCCCTTCTCCTCTGTCACCACAGTGGGCAATGGCCTGGTGGCCGGCAGCTCCGACTCGTCCAGTTCTGGCTCTGGCTCTGACTCCGAGGAGCCCCCAGAGGGCCAGCCAACCAAGGCGACCGTGGCCACGGCGGCAGTCACGCCCACCAGCCCGGCAGGCAGCAGTGGGCTCATCACACAGGAGGGCATGCACATCCCCTTCGACGTCCACCACGTGGAGAGCCTGGCTGAGCAGGGCACTCCGCTATGCCCCAACCCCGCCAGCAGCGGGCCGGAGGCCCTGGAGACAGTGGTGTGCGTGCCCGTGCCCGTACAAGTGGGCCCGGGCCCCGGCACCCTCTTTGAGAACGTGCCCCAGGAGGCACTGGGTGAGGTGGTGGCCAGCTGTCCCATGCCAGGCATGGTGCCCGGGTCGCAGGTGATCATCATCGCCGGCCCCGGCTACGATGCCCTCACAGCCGAGGGCATCCACCTCAACGTGGCAGCCGGCAGCACTGCCCCCGGAGGGGGCCTGGGCGATGAGGTGCCCTGTGCCATGATGGAGGGCGTGGCTGCCTACACACAGACAGAGCCGGAGGGTGGCCCACCCAGTACCATGGACCCTGCTGCCATGACAGGCATTGAGACCAAGAAAGGTCTGGGGGGGCCATGCCAGTCCGGGGGCTGGAAGGGGGGGCACATTGGGACCTGGCAAGGGGAGGGCAAGGAGTGGCCCCAGAATGAGCTCCTCAACAGCCTTAGTCCCCGCGGGCACTCACTCTGTGTCTACCCCCGCAGAGAAGGAGGACCTGTATGTGCTCAAGAAGGAGGAGAAGGAGGAGCTGGTGGCCCCTGAGATGGCTGAGCTGGCTGCGACGGTGCCTGAGAGCACCGAGCCTGAGGCCGAGGCCGACGGGGAGGAGCTCGAGGGCAGCGACATGTCCGCCATCATCTACGAGATCCCCAAGGAGCCCGAGAAGTGGGTGCCAGGGCGGGCGGGCGGGGGCAGGGACTAGGAGTGGCTCCTGGTGCAGGAGCTCTAATGCCACAGGCCCCTTTCCCTCTAGGAGGCGGCGGAGCAAGAGGTCGCGGGTGATGGACGCCGATGGCCTGCTGGAGATGTTCCACTGCCCCTACGAGGGCTGCAGCCAGGTCTACGTGGCCCTCAGCAGCTTCCAGGTGAGCCCCCCACCCAGACAGATGCATGTGCAATGCGTCTGGGCACAGTGGCTCATGGGGGCGAGGCCTCCAGGTACCACTGGCCTGTGTCCCACACACCCACCCAGCCCCAGCTGATCTCAGCCTCACTACAGAGAGGCAGGCATCACCTCTGTGCCTTCCCCTCCTGTTCTCCAGCCCCACCTGTCCTGCCTCCTTCAGCCAGCCAGTGCCTCTGCACACCCTGTATCCTGCCTGGTCCCAGGGGCTCCCCCCACACTCCCCCTCTTCTAGCACCTGAACTCTCCCCGCCTCTGCCCAGGCCACCCTGTCAGCTCAGTATGCCTTCTCTCCAAGCTTAACTCTGTTTGCCCCTCTGCCAGGAAGCCCACCCTACTCCCCTCCTCGCCCCCATCACTCACTGCACCACCAGGACATACCTGCAGTGTGCCCTCTGGAGTCTGAAAGGGTGCCCTGAGAGCAGAGATAGGGTTCCATCACAACCCCACTCCTGGCGCAGGACATGGCTCCAAGAGAACTTTGAATTTGCCAAGGGATGTTTTCATTAAGCACGTATTGAGCCCCGTCTGTGTGCCAGGCCTGGTGCTGCATGCGGGAGCAGTTGTGCCAGTGAATTAAAGAATGAAAGAACAAAGGAATGAATGGCTTGCGGGCTGCCTGCTCCAGGCTCTGGGGGCAGCTCAACAGCACAGAAAGAGTCACTGTGGGGCTGACAGCCCTGGACTCCAGTCCTACACTGCCCACCTGTAAGACAAGACCAAACCACTAAGCCTCCAGAGCCTCAGTTTCCCCATCCACAAGCTGGGCTGGTGGCAGCCCCTTCCATGGTTCTGACATGGTTCTGATGAGGCTGACCGATGCCCCAGCCCAGAGCCTGGCTGGAGCACGTGCCCAGTTAAGCTGTCCTTTCATCCCAGTTGTGCCCCTGGGCCCCAGCTTGGATCTGGGAGTCCCTCCCAAGGGCAAGGGCAAGACCCAGCCAGCCCCCATCTGTCCTCACCCTGCAGAGCTCTAAGGTGGGCCCGTGGCACCCACTCCTGCCCCTCTCACCCCCAGAACCATGTCAACCTTGTGCATCGGAAAGGGAAGACCAAAGTGTGCCCTCATCCTGGCTGCGGCAAGAAGTTCTATTTATCCAACCACCTGCGGCGGCACATGATCATTCACTCAGGTCAGGCCCAAGGCCGGGCTGGCAGCTTGAGCTGCAGGCAGGGGGCCCTGGGCCTGGAAGCCAGGGCTGGGAGCAGGGTGAAACCTGGGCCCGGGGCTGCCTCTCACAGAGCCTCCTCCACGTCCACCACAAGGGCTGGTGTGAGGTGGTGGAAGTAAAGCAGTTCACTGGGCATGTCCCCAGTGGTCAGTAAGCTGGAGCTGCATGGTCACAGGTGAAACCTGGGCCCGGGGCTGCCTCTCGCAGAGCCTCCTCCACGTCCACCACAAGGGCTGGTGTGAGGTGGTGGAAGTAAAGCAGTTCACTGGGCATGTCCCCAGTGGTCAGTAAGCTGGAGCTGCATGGTCACAAGGACACCTGCTATCATAAGTCATGTGTGGCTGGGTAGGGGCTGGCTGTCTCTTCCCTAGCTTGGCCCCTGGGCTCCCCACTTCGGCAAGCAATTCTTATGTGAGAGCTGTTTCAGGACTGAGCGGGGACACTGAACCACCAGGGTAGGGAAATGGACTTGGGACAGGATTTCTGTTCCGTCTGCCTCAAGCACCTCCCTGACCCAGGTCATAGCATATAGGTCCGTGGGGAGCACTGGTGCCACCCCACATGCCCAGCGGGAGGGCACGGCTTCAGCTTTTTTGAGAAGCTGGAACTTTGGATTTTTATGTGAAATCGCCCCAATAGGTGCAATATTCGGGTCAAACTCAGGCCCAGTCGGGCTTGGCAGTTTGCGTCCTGTGCCCCTCAGGGATCCAAGTTCAGATTCTTGCTCTGCCCAATCGCCTTCCTAGGCAGCCTCCGAGCCTCCTGCGAGGATGTAGCTGCGCTTCATTTTAGCTGCCTTAGTTATCATAGTCTTCTTCAGGTGTCCGTGAATTCACCTGCGAAACCTGCGGCAAGTCTTTTAAGAGGAAGAACCACCTGGAGGTACACCGGCGCACGCACACTGGCGAGACGCCTCTGCAGTGAGTGACGGGCTTCCGCGAGGGGCTGGGAGGAAGGACCTGCCCAGGGCAGGGCTTAAGGCGGGTGACGCCCCCAGCGTTGCCTCTGGGGTTTCCAGAGTATCCCCAGGTGGCCCCGCCCCTCTCTGGGCCGGCCCCGCCCTTGTGGTTGGGCCCAGTCCCCCAGGCGCTCCCCGGTGCTGCTCTTCGGCCCGTCCACTCTGACCCCCGCCCCGCATGCCTCCTGCGGGCTCTCCCCCAGGTGCGAGATCTGTGGCTACCAGTGCCGACAGCGCGCATCGCTCAACTGGCACATGAAGAAGCACACGGCCGAGGTGCAGTACAACTTCACGTGCGAGCGCTGCGGGAAGCGCTTCGAGAAGCTGGACAGCGTCAAGTTCCACACGCTCAAAAGCCACCCGGACCACAAGCCCGCCTGATCCGCCCCGACCACTGAACGCCCCTATTTATTCGTCCGATTGGACACCATGCCCGGGCCTGTCAGGGCCGGGACATCCGCGGGGGGCCGCCCGGACCGCGGGCCGGAAGGAGGCGCCCCTGCTCCGCTATAGGGCTGGGCCCCCGGGGCAGGTCCCCCACCCCCGCCCGATTTCTGGAGCTGGCCCCTAGGGTTGCACTGCTGGAACTGTGTCAAGAGAGAAGGGCGAGATTAAAGAGCAAGAAAGGAGATGTTCTTCCCTAGGCTTGACTATTGGGGGAAGGCGGGTGGGCCCCTCTGTCTCCTACCTGGTCCTTTACTGAGCAAGGCGGAAGCGGACAGCACCCTTTCCTGTCAAGCTCCGCTCTGCCTCGGCTACCTGGGCCTGGCAGGCCTGTCCACTCCCTCCTCTGACAAGGTCAGGGATGGAATGTTGGGGCCCTGGAGTCTATTGAACATCTCTCAGGACTCGGGATCTGACTCTCTCTCTTAATTCCGTCAGAGAACACCCATTCCTCACTCGGAGAGCTCAGGGACCAGTTGGGGAGGTGTTCAGTAAACCCCTAAGGTAAACATCAACAGCTGTAACAAGAGCCACGCAGAAAGTAGAATGATAATTAGTTTCTGGGGCTGCTGCTTAGGTTGGTGGTCGGGGGGCGTTGGGGGGCTCTCTAGGGAGGTGGCATTTGAGCACAGACCAGAATGATAAAGGTTCCATCCCTGAAGGAAGCCAGAGGAGGCAAATGCCCAGCCGAAGGAACAGCCAGTGCCAAAGCCCCGAGGAAGAGCTGGGCTCGGCGTGTTCCTGGAACAGGAAACCGCGGGGGGTGGGGAGGGATTTGGCAGCGGCAGGGCGTCTGCCTTGGCCCCATTTCCCAGAGGAGGATGCTGAGGCGGACGCCTCCTCAATGCGGGCCGTCAGGGAGAGGGATGGGGAGCGATTCCAGGCCACGAGACCGCCAGGTGGCGCGCAAGCCGCGTGGGCCCTGGTGGCCGCAGCCACGTGACTCCGGGGACCGCAGCCGCGAGCCGGGGCACGTGCCCGGGGGAGCCCTGTGGCGCCACGCGCAGATTGGCCCCGCCGGTTCCTCACCAGTTCGTGGGGGCGGGGCCGCAGCTAGGCCTCATTTTATTCTTCGGACCGGGAGCTACCCCAGCCGGGGATGGATGAGTCGGCGAGGATGAGCGAGTCCGGCTGCTGGGGCCTCCCCGCGAAGCTCAGCCCCCTTCGCTATCCCTGCACAACCGGGAGCCAGCAGTTTCCATGGCAACTGCAGCCGGGTCTGCGCTCCCAGAAGTAGCCTTCCCGGCACGAGCACAGTTTCCGATCCCACAGGAGCCAGGAGGAACATGCGGCGGGGAACAAGCCATTGGTCGGGGTGCCCGGGGTCGCCAGCGAGGTCGGCAGCCCAGGCAAATCCAAATAGGGACAGCCGGGGACCCGCATCGCCACCCCCCCGACTGCGCGGGCCATTGCGATTGGTCTTCCCTTTCCATCGGCGTGGCCGCGCTCTCGGCTGCTCGCACTTCCATTGGCTCAATCTCGAAGGCATCTTCCCTCAATTGGCCCTCTCGGGGGCCATCCCTGATTGGTCAAATTAGGCTTTCTTCCTTGGGTTTGATGGCGCTCTCGGACAGTCTGGAACCTAAAAGGGCGTGCAGGGACGAGGATAGAATTTAGGTTGCGACTCTCAAGTTAGGGGATCCGGGCTACCCCGCCCGCAGCGCCCTGGACCTGGCCGTCGGACCGCTGTCTGTGGTGCTGAAGCCTCACTCGAAGGTGCCCCTAAGTGCTCTAGTGAGAACACCTCCTCGAGACTGGCGGCCGCCCCGACAAAAATGTGCACTCGCGCTCCAAAGGAGACTGCGCCACCCCGTGTCGCCTGAGAGAAAGGCCAGGTCCGCCCCCTAGCAGAGAGGGAGTGGGACTCCACAAGCGGATCAGTCACGAGCCCCGGAAGCCAGAACATTTACACGGCAAAACCGTCAACCCGAAGTTTATGGGGTCTGAGAAGGGCCTGATGGTTTCCCGGGTCTGTAGGACACCAGCGGGGTTTGCCTAGAAGCCTGAGCCCCAAACTTCTTCACTCCCTTTGGAGCAGGGCCCCTGACTGTGGTATGTCCATTCCCCACCCACTTTGAACTCTAGAGAACCTACCCTGCTCAAAATCCACAGGGCCCCAATTCTTTCTGCAGGCAGAAAAGGTCTTCAGCTACCCCCACCTTCCTCCATGTGGTTCTCCCAAATCTGGGAGGGACCCAGGAGACCCAGGCCTCTGTTCAGTGAAGTCCTGGTTCCTCGTCCCTCTACAGTCTTCTACGTGGACAGCACCTTATGAAGGCAGTACAATCGAGACATCATTACCTCCTCACCCTCTCTGCTTCTCCAGCTCCGGGATACTGGACTGAGGGGAACGCTTCCTGTCTTCCAGGCCGAAAGCCCGCCCAAGAAGGGGCGCCAAAGCAGGAAGTAAGATCCACGAGGGCAAAAGGGCCCGAATCTGGCAATTGGAGCCCCCAAGTTGTGTGTGCTTTCTGTGTGTGCGAAGTCCTGGCCAGCGCGCGCTCGCTTCCACCTGCCGCGCCGTCGGGCGCCGCGAGGAGGCGGGGCTCAGTTACCGCAGCCAATAAGCGACGCCGGCGCTAGCAGCTGCTGCTATAAAGGGCTGGGGGCGGCGGCGGCGCGGCCCAGAGCGCGGAGCGCGCAGCGAGGGCCGGCGGGAGGGAGGGAGGGCGGGCGAGGGGAGCGGACTGAACACGGGGGACCGGACCAGCCGGGCCGAGGGGCGGCGGCGAAAGGCAGAGCGCCGAGATCTCTGTCGGGAAGCGCAACCTCCCCGGGCCCCGCGGGGCCGCGCAGGGGGCGTTCTCAATCCCGCGCCCGCTCCCTCTTTCCATCCCCTGCTGCCCGCAGGCCACCCCGGGGCCCGGTTATCCGCGCTCGCGTACCCGGGCTCGGGCCCGTCCCCGGCCCTCGAGGGATCCGCTGCCCTCACCGAGACCTCTGCAGCGGCCGCACCAGAGGCCGCCCCGGCAGGACCCCGGCGTGAGCATCGAGCGCCCCCCAAAGAGTGCACGACCCCCGGAGCCGCCCTCAACACGGACCGCGCCCGCCGGGCACACAAGAATGGTCACTGTAGGTATTCCCCTGTCGCTGAGAGGGAACCTAGTCGGAGAGGGTTTAGGCACAGGCTCCGAGGAGATGGGAAGGAGGGGGGGGGGGTAGGACCAGGCCTAGCTAGGCCCGGGTGGGGGGGGTAGGACCGAGCCTCGGGGCCTAAGTGTGGGCAGAGCCGCGCCCAGAGTGCTGGGGGCGCTTAGAGTTTGGCTTGAGAGGCCTTAGGGAATCGACCTGTGTTTCGGAGGACATCCTACGGAGCCCTGGGGGCGGAATTGCCCCCTTCAGCAGGCCTGATGGGGGAGGGGCCGCGGCGGCGGAGGATGCCTCCTCCATCCAGGCCCGGACTCAGCAGGCCTCCCAGGCAAACGCAGGGCCCCAATCACTGGTGCTGGGCCAGGACCAGGCGGCAAGGAGTCCCCGAGAGCCCCAGGGAAGGGGTGGCGTCGGATCGCGCGCCCTGGGCCTCGACCGCACCCGGGAGCCGGGCATCTCGTCCTCGAGCCCGTCGACCTTGCGGCAAGCGGGGAGGGGAGAGGAGGGGGCGCGCCCGGAGGCCCCGCGGGCCCGCCGCCACCGCCGCCGCGTCCCTTTGTTTCTCGGCGCTTCTTCGCGGGCCGTAGCCTCGCGCGGGCGCCTCAGGCTGCGGGGAGGGGGAGGGGAGAGAAGGGCCCGCGGGGGGGTTAATGCTCCGCCGCTCCTGAGCCCCCGCCTCCAGGGGATGTGGAAAGGGGCTCAGGCAGACCCCCTAGGCCAGGTCAAGGCGCCCCACCCTGCCAGAGCTCAGGGCCGCGGGGTGACCTTGAACGCGCCCGCCGGCCCGCCCGCCGGCGCCCGTAGCCCAGTGCCGGTGCTTTCAGCAGCCGCTGAGCTGGTCAGCTCCCGAGCGCCCAGCCACGCCCGGCCACGCCCTTTATTACCACGCCCCTGCCCCGCCCATCTAGACCCCGCCCCCGGGGCCCCAGGGGCCCGGCCTCGCCCGAGCCCTCGGATTTCCACTCCACTCGGCAGCCCGGGCGTATCCCGGGGGCGGGGCTGGCCAATTTTAGCCCCACCCCGGCTCCACCCCCGCCCCCGCCGCGCGACTCTGCTCCCCGCGCCGCCGAGCGTCCTTTGTCTGGTCCCAGCGCCCGGGCCTCCTTCTTTCGCTCTTTCTGTCTCTCACGTCTCTGCGTGTGTGTCTCTGTACCCTGTATCTCTTCCCGGACCTCTTTTTCGAGTAGTAGCGAGCATAATGGGTGGGGGGATGTTTAGCACTCCCTCCATACCTGGGCCTCTCCCCTTCCAGACCTTGAGACTCACCCACCTGGCTATGAGAAAGGAGGCCTGAGAGAGGCCACCCTTTTCTGCTGTGTGATCTCAGGCCAGCTCCTTTCCCTCGCTGTCTCACGCTCCTCACCCAGGTCTAGGAATGCGAATGAGGCCTCCTGAGGACCCTCAGCACCCCCAGAACAGCCCAGCATACATTGCTTTGATCTCTGCCCCCATTTGAAAAAGGGAAGCTGATGCACAAAGGGGAGAACGTGTGGTCAGAGGTCACACAGGGCCTTGGAGCCCTCGGAGTCCTGGTCACTCTGATGGAGAGTACTCAGGCAGAGACCCACCACTGAGACAGGCTGGGAGGAAGTCAGAGGATGAGTTGAGACAGTGATGGCCCTGCAGGAAGGGAGAAGGACCCAGAAGTAGGAGGCTCACTTAGCACCACGTGGTGGTCCAGCCTTATGCATAGCCATTCAATGCCCTATTGTCGTGGGTGCCTAAGCATCTGTCACTGTGACTAGGACCAGGGGCACAGCTGGAGGCCAAGGGGGTCTGACACAGCAAAATGATCTCAGGTGTATTCACTGCAAAAATCCATATGTCAGATGTTTGTATGATGGTACAAAAGAGTTGGAGGAAGAGAGACAGGGAAGGGGAGACAGAGAAGGGTTCAGAGGGGAAAGAAGGATGGAGGGGAGAGACTCGGACAGAGGAGAAGAGAAACAGGAAAAGTAGCAGAAGGAGGGAAAGACCCAGAGGAAGAGCCAGAGAGAGTGTGGGTGGGAGTGGGGGGTAGTTTCCCACTTGCTCTGTCTTTAATCTGCCTTCCTCCCCTCTGACTTCACCTCTCCATCCCTGTCCTGGGACAGCCCTCAGCCCTCAGGAGACCTCACAGGTCTCCGTGATCCCTGTGTCATCCTGGGCCATGCATTTGCTGTGGGCTGAAGCCTGAGAGGGTGTGGCCTCCACCAATCCGATCCCCATTAGCAGCTCAGCCGGCTCAGCCTCAGAGGAAATGCGACACTGATCCCTTTAAGCTCTGGCACAGATGCGAGGGAGATGGGGTGGGGGGAGGTTGAGACTAGCAGGCTGGGCTTCAAGATCCCTAGTGGGAACCCCCCAATCTCCTCTTAACCCCATCCAAGTTGAGGATAGCATTCAGGAAGGTGGAGAACCAGTAACCTTGTGGGCTCCAGGGTCATCAGATCAAGGAATCAAACCCGAAAACCATCCCTGCCACTTGCTTGTCATCCTGGGCAAGTCACAGTTTCCTTTCACCCTAAATTTCTCCATTTGAGAAATGGAGATGATCTCCAGCTTTCAGCATGATTGTGGAAAAGCAATTAAAATTATACATGTTCAGTGCACATAGTAGGGCTTCCAAAGCTGGAATCTGATGTGTCTTGCATACTATGTCCTGCTTTTGGGAGCTTCCATAGACATCATCAGCTGATCACAGAATTCTAGCTTGCTGAACCCAGACATAAATTCAGACTCCAGCTCTCCATACATGGGCGACCTCTGTACCATATTTTTAGTGGTCGGACAAAGGCCCAGAGAGGCAGCGTGAGTGTCAAAGGACACACAGTGAGGAGGGTGGAAGCAGCAGCTTGGTGGCAGGTAGTAAATAACTTGTTGAGTTGAATGAGTAGACTCGGCCAACAGAGTAGGTTTAAACATAGTGATGCCCAGGGCTTGGTGTTGAGTGGGTACTCAGCTTTGCTTTGTTATTATTTTTATTATTGGGCATTTCACTAAGAGAGTGGACACTGGAGTCTAAACCCTGGATTTGAATTCTTGGTCCACTTTTTGCATGCTACCCAACCTTGTTTCAATCCCTTCTCCTTTAATGAGACTCAGCTTTCTCATCTGTCATCTGTTAAATGATGAAAAGAGCTCCATAACATTCAATGTTGGGAGAACTGCCTGGGAATTTTCACATAGAGAATGTTGTCTGGCACATAGCAGGCCCTCAACTCATGGCTATGTTATTAGTAAAGTGTTGTTTTAAGACCAGGATGCTGATGTGTGGAGTGTACGTTATTGCTTTCTTTCAGGACAGACATGCGGCAGACAATTGGTAATCAACCCAGTCTGTGTTCCTGGTGAGCCTGGATGTGGCTTCAGAATAATCCTCCAGGGAATTCCCCAGTGGTCCGGAAGTTAGGATTCCATGCTCTCTGCCGAGGGCCCAGGTTTAATCCCCCATCAGGGAACTAACATCCCATAAGCTTCATGATGCAGCCAAGAATGGAAAAAAATAAAATCAAAGAATAATTCTCCAGGCAGATCTCCCAGACAGCCACTCCCAGCCAATTGGAGCTGCAGGGCAGTTGACCCTCTGAGCCATCCTTTAAATAAGAATAAATGACAAGGAAGCAGGAGCCCAAAGAAGAGCTAAGATTGTCCCTGAGGACATACAGCCATATGGTGGCAGAGCTGCCCCCAGTGTACTGGCCAGTCATTAAAAACAGCTCTGAAGTCCAACATATCCAGGTTTGAAATCAAGTTTTCCATTTATATCATGCAGTGTCTCTGAGTTCTTTCCCGGGTACCTGACACGGGAGGTGTCAGTGGAGCGGGATGATTATTAACAGCAGGACTGGTGGACAGGACAAGCCTGCTTCCACTTCCCATGACCGTGTATATGGCAGACATAGCCAACTGATCCCAGAATGCTTTCAGCTGCACCCACAATCAGCTTTAGATTGTTCTCCAGTCACTATACTGGTAATTTGTTGGGAGTTTTCAACAAAATGGAGCAGAGGTCCAGAAGTGTGAAGCAGCATACCTAAGGACACAGCTGGAAAATGTGAGCCAGCACTAGGCTTCGTTGACAGTAGAAGTCGGAACTACAGACTTCTAATCATTAAAGCTCATGTGCAAATCCCTGTTTCACCATTTAGGGACTGCATGATCTTGGTAATTTCTTTAACATCTTTGAACCTCACTCTCCTCATCTGTTGTCTTAGTCAGCTCAGGCTGACTAAAATACCATTAACTGGGTGGCTTAAACAACAGACATTTATTTCTCATAGTTCTGGAGGCTGAGAAGTCCAAGATTGAGGTGTGAGCTGATTTGGTTTAGTGGTGAGGGCCAGCTTCCTGGTTTGCAGATGGTTATATTATCACTGTCTTCATATGGTGGAGAGAGATCATCTGTCCCTTTTTATAAGGTTCCATCCTCATGACCTAATTACCTCCCAAATGCCCTGCCTCCAAATACGATCTCATTGGGGATAAGGGTTTCAACATATGAATTTGGAGGGACACAAGCATTTAGTCCATATGTGTGCATACTAAGTCGCTTCATTCGTGTCCAACTCTTTGCAACTCTATGGACCATAACCCATCAGGCTCCTCTGTCCGTGGGATTTTCCAGGCAAGAATACTGGAGTCGGTTGCCATGCCCTCCACCAGGGGATTTCCCCAACCCAGGGGTCAAACCACCATCTCTTATTCTCCTGCACTGGCAGGCAGGTTCTTTACCAGTAGTGCCCTCTAGAAAGCCCATTTAGTCCACAGTATCTCTCTCTCTCTCTTTCTCTTTTTTTTTATCTGTAGCATCTCTTAAGCAGGCTTCCTAGGTGGCTCAGTGGTAAAGAACCTGCCTGCCAATGCAGGAGACATAGGTTCAATCCCTGAGCCAGGAAGATCCCCTGGAAAAAGAAATGGAAACCCACTCCAGTTTTCTTTCCTGGGAAATCCCACAAATGGAGGAGCCTGGTTGGCTACAGTCCATGGGGTTCAAAAGAGTCAGATAAGATTTAGCACCTAAACCACATTTCTTAAGCTGAGGAAATAAAACCCTCTTCTTTCCAGAGTTGTGAATAAGAAAAAAAAAATTGCTTGTAGAGGGCCTTGCTTTGTGCCTAGTACACAGTGTGCCCGAAATTTGGGAACAACCATGGTTATATTTTGGGGCAGGGATGACTGAGATGATGTGAACCTGCTGGCTCTTTCTAATTCCATCACCACAATAGACATTGCTAATCAATCACAAATGGTCTTTCCTCCTAAAACTGAATGTGGCTTTAAATCCTTCTTAATTCATCCCTCTAGGAAGACTCTACCAATCTATTCGGGTTTCTAGGTGAGGGCAACCTATTCACCAACTGTGCCATAGGAGAAAACCTAAGGAAATGCTGGCTATTTTCCTTTCTCATGCCCATGACAGACAATACCAACCAATCCCAGCACTGTTTCCTACTGTGCCCAGATGTGGCTTTAAAATTCTTCTCTACATGACTCTTAAGATAGACATGGCTAATTTTTTGAATTTTCAGCAAAGTGAGTCAGAGGCCCCCAAGAGAACAAGGAGTATATCTAAGGACACAAAACAATGAGTTGGAGCTGGTACCTGACATCATTGAGAATGGTAGAGAGTGGTCTTCAGGCATAGACAGGTCTGCATTTGCATTCCAAATGCCACCACTGATATGCTATGTGACTTCAATAAGTTTCTTAACATCTCTGAGCCTCATATTCCTTGTCATAGCATAATTAACTTCTACTGAGCTGTTGCACGGATCAAAAAACATGGTGTCCGACTCCTTGTGACCCTGTGGACTGTACCCTGCCAGGTTCCTCTGTCCATGGGATTCTCCAGGAAGAATACTGGAGTGGGTAGTATTCTCCCCACAGTGCTGGGATTGGTTGGAATACCAATCTGTCATGGGCATGAGAAGGGAAAGTAGCCAGCATTTCCTTAGGTCTTCTCCTATGGCACAGTTGGTGAATAGGTTGCCCTCACCTAGAAACCCAAATAGATTGGTAGAGTCTTCCTTATATATGGACTTTTTCCAGGTAAAAGACCCCTTTCTCCAGGGGATCTTCCCAACCCAGGAGTTGAACCAGGGTTTCCTGCATTGCAGGCAGATTCTTTACCATCTGAGCCACCAGTGAAGCCCATTCTTGAATACAGAGGTTAAAAATCCCAAACAAAGAACCATCAAAAAATGTGGCAAATCAAATCAAACAATGTATATAAACAAAACTGCAACATGACCAAGTTTAGCCTAGGAAAGTTGACTTAATATTAGAAAATCAATTAATGCAATTCATGATTGTAATATAGTAAAGCAAAAAAATCATTTCAATAGATGTAGAAAAAGATAGTCAATAAAATTCAATATCCATTCCTTAAAAAAATATCTTGTTAGGATACTAGGAATAAAATTAAACATTCTTAACTTGATGAAGGTCATCTACCAAAAAACCTATAGTAAAGATCATATTTAGCTGTGAAATATTTACAGCATTTCCTTTAATGTTTCAAGAATAAAAAAGCCACTATCACAAGGTAGCCCCTGCAATAAGACAAGAAAAATAAATAATAGGTATAATTGGCGATAAAGAAAAGTATCATTATTTGCAGGTGTTATTATATTATACATAAAAAATCCAAAATGGCTCAGTGGAAAAACAGGTGGGGGGGGTATAAATGCCCACTGGGAAAATTATGCATGAAGCAAAAGAAATATTAACATATTTGGATAGGACTTGCCTTTGGTGGGAAGAGCAAAGTACAAGGTCAGGAATGGTATTGTGAGGGTTTCAAAGCTAATTAAAAAGGTTGCAATTTTAATTCTGAATACCAAAGTATTCATTTCATTATTCTAAAAATGTAGATTAGTTTTAGACAAACAGGCAAGCACACATGCAAAAGGGCGTATATGGTGCATATATATATGGACTTTTTCCAGGTAAAATCACACATAAAATGCTTTCCCCAGTGCTCAAGGAATGGGAGGGGCTGTGAGAATAGTACCGTATCCCCTCTGAATGTTCAAGCCTATGTCAGACATGACACATGTGTCACCACAAACCCTGGTGTGGGGACCGGGCCGTGAGTGGGTGTGGCCTGTTGTCTCCAGCAGATACTCGGCGCCATGGAGTCTCAGGTGGCAGGGGGCCCGGCCGGCCCGGCCCTGCCCAACGGGCCACTCCTTGGTACAAACGGAGCCACTGATGACAGCAAGACCAACCTCATTGTCAACTACTTGCCCCAGAATATGACCCAGGATGAGTTCAAGAGTCTCTTCGGCAGCATTGGTGACATCGAGTCCTGCAAGTTGGTTCGGGACAAGATCACAGGTGTGGCTTCTGGCGGGTAGGGGTAGCCACAGAAGTACATGTGTGGTGTTTAGCCAGAGGTGACCCCGGGTGGGAGGTGATGCGAGCAGGTCGGACCCTCGTGGGGTCTGAGGTGTGATGGGGAGCCAGGCGTGAGCCCAAGTAGCAGCAGGTGGGACCTCGGTGGAGTATGAGATGTGATGGGAAGACAGATGCAACCGTAGGTGGGATACTGGAGGGGTCTGAGGTGTCCTGGGGCTAGGGTGGTACACTGGGGGAATAAATAAGGGTGGAATCCTGGTTCTCATAACCGTGATGGGGGTGGTCAGCCTCTCAGGCCTGGGTCTGGGAGGACCCTGGCAGGTCATTGTCCTGGTCCTGCCTGCAGGGCAGAGCCTCGGCTACGGGTTTGTGAACTACTCTGACCCCAACGATGCAGACAAAGCCATCAACACCCTCAACGGCCTCAAACTGCAGACGAAGACCATCAAGGTCAGCGCCCTCGTTCCTGTGACTCCCCATCTTGGCTGTGCCCATTTCCTCTTTATTACCACCCACCTGAACTGACCCCTCCACTGCCACCCAACCCTCTCGGCCGTACCCTCCCCACATGTCCATTCCCCCTGCTGCCACGAATCTTCCCCCAAGGCTCATCCCCTAAGGGGCTCAAATCATTCCCCAGAGGGTTTCCGGCTGGGGCCCCAGAGCCAATGACTGCCTCTCTGAATCTCTGTTTCCTCACCTGTTGATGGGGAGATGATCAACCCCACATTCTCTGGCAACTCAAGGAGTCAGCCAGGCCCTGGAGGTACCCACGCCCTCAGCTGTAGGAGAGAGTGACCAGGGTCTGGTGTGCAGCCCCCTCCCTGCCTTTGTCATGGAAATGGGGGAGAGGGGGGGCCCATCTGCCATCTGGAGCCTAACTAGGGTCTGGGAGGGTGGGATTGAGGTGGGCCCTTCCCCCACCTTTGTGCAATGCCCCTCCCCCGCCATGACCTCCCCTCTCAGCAGCTGCAGCTGGGACCCTGCGAGCCCAGGTTCCCTGGGAAGGAGGGGTGGGAATCACCATGGAAACCCCCTCTCCGGGTTTGCCTGGGGGTGTCTGGGCTCCGCCCCACAAATCTGCTTCTGAATCCTGAGGGAGGGTAGGCTGGGAGGATGCCCATCTGGACCCCAGTTTGCCATAAAAACAGAGGTGCTGGAATCTCTTCCTCTCCCTGATGTGGAGGCTGACAAGGGTCTGATGGGTCCCTCTGTGGCCAAGTAGACCCAGAAGCCCCCAGGTTGTGAGGATGGACCCTAGTGATGAACTGTATAACCCAGAGGGCTACTGTATGCAGGTGATGTGGCATGTGTGTGTGGTGTGTGGCACCCTAGGCTGTAAGACATGGTGTTTGTGGGACCTCATGGCTATGTAAGTGGCTGTTATCATGTGGGTCTGGCTGTTACAGACTTGAGTTGTGTTACTATGTGTCTCTGAGGAAAGGGTGTTTTTTTGGTAGGTGCTTTGTGACACATTGCAACTCTGGCTGTGACCTGGTGGGGCTGCGTGGGTGTGTCTTGCTGTGACAGGGTGTTTGTGTGTTATGGAGAAATTGTGTGGGTGTGTCTACCTGTGCCCCATTCGGGGTGGAATGTGTGTGACACTGAGGGCTTGTGCAGTGGTGTGACAGGTGTGTGGTTGGTTCTGTGATGCTCCCTGTAATTACCCTGGAGTTCCATGAATGTGGCAATGGCCTGTGTCCCCCTCCAGGTGGTGTAGTCCCCGGAGCTGTGCAGTGGGTATCCCAATGAGGCCATGTGTGTGTGTGCGCGTGCATGTGTGTGTGCATGTGTGTGTGTGTGTGTGTGTGTGCCTGGGTGGCTGTGGTGTTTGGCTGGTCCTAACTAGGTGTTCCAGCAGGTTGTACCCCAAATATTTCCAGCCAGCCATCATGTGCCAAGCCCTATCCTGGTCAAGGGGTGTAGGAGGAGCCCATACCCAGGTGAAGGACCCGGGTCAGCCCACGTCATGGAAGGATGGGAAAGGACCCTGAATGCCGACTCTGCCTTGAATGACCCCTGACTCCAAAACCCACCCAGGAGCTCAGCGTCCCTTCCCCTGTCCTCCAGCTCCAATCCATCAACAAGTCGACATCTCTAAAAACGGCACAGCCCCCAGGGTGGGGAAGAGTGGAAGCCATCAAATACATTGCCATGAGCTTTCATTGTTATTACAGAAATAATAGCAGCTGTGGTGTTTGTCTTTTAGGTTTCTGGAGGACCCCAGGTGTGCACAATCACATCAATTAGAATCCCCCTGCCCCCACCCTAGAAGCAATACACCCTTGGCCCAATTTATTCATTTTGTTCATTTTTTAATTAGTGACTTCTAGTGAAGTAATATGCCCTCGCAACTCACCTCCCTAAACAAAAGCTGGACCCTTGACAATGACCTCCTCTACCCAGAGGTTAATTCAGAAGAAACAGAAAGATAGACATCAGCAGAAGTAAGGGAGGAAGGAGCTTATCCTACCACCCCCTGCCCCCGACAGCTCTAGCTCACCCTGTCAGCGTTTAGAGGGGGCCTTCTAGACCATGTTTCCAGGACATTGATAAACACACAATGAGATGGGGTCACACAATAGTCACTGCTCTGTAAATGGACTTTTCTTTCCCCCACTTTACAATACTCACCACTGTTTCGGGGAAATAAATATACACGTCCACCATTTTTCAAACAGTTGCAGAGAGTTTCATTGTTGGGCTGGACCACAATTAATGAATCGAAGGGTCATAGGGAAATGTGTCTATTTCATAACTGAGAGAAGGGCTCTGAAGGACAGGAACGGGGCTAAGGGTGGAGGACCAAACGCGGATGGGAAAGGACCAGGAGGATATTTCAAATGAGGCATGGAGGAGAAGAAAGGCGAGGAAGAGAGTTGGAAGCACAGGGAACAACAAGCGGAAAGGCCCTGAGGGTGGAGCAAACCTAGTGTTTGGGAACGTGGCTGGAGGCCTGTGTGCCTGGAATAGAGATGTTGAGGGGGACAGTGGGCTGAAATGAGGGGGGTGGTGGTGATGGGTCAGGTCATGCAAGGCCCTGTGGTCCATGAGAAGCACTTGAACTCTGAGGACGGTGAAAGACACAGGATTCTAAGCAGAGGGATGTGACCTGGTTCAGATGTTCACAGGTGCCCCCTGGCTGTTGTGGGAGGAACAGCCTGTGGGGGGTGGTGGAGTGGAGCAGGGAACCAGGGCGGAGCCTGCTACCCTGGTTTGGATGAGCAATGGGAGGAAAATGGGGAGAAGGATGTGGATTCTGGATAAGGAGGAAGGTGGAACTGATAGGAAGATGGTGTTTAGACGTGGGTGTGATGGACACGTCAAGGACAACCTGAGGCTGGGGACCTGAGCACCTGGAACGACAGAACTGTCATTACTGAGTGAAGGCAAGTTGGGGTTGCTGAGCGTGACTCCCCCACCATGAAGCCTCCTCACAGGACACCTGGAGGCAGGTATCACACAGGTGTGCCGTTCGGGAGCCAGTCCCAGTGCTGGCTCAGACATTTTGGAGCTGTCAGGGTTGAGCTGCAGTCTAAAGATCTAAGTAACCCTGAGGGTGCCCAGTGTAGTAGGGAAGAGACCAGCCGGCACCCCAGGTTCACTTTCCAAAGAAGTCAGACGTGTCGATGTTGATGTAATGTCCAGTCTGAGAGCATGAGCTGGAGACTCGAAGGTCTCCAAGGTCCCCAGGGAGACACGTGACCCCAGAGGCGCAGGTATTTGTCATCGCTCTACGCAGGCCAAGCCACGCCTGTTTGTCTTGGTCACAGCCACGTTCCCTGTCACCACGCCCCGGTTGACTCCCGCCCACTGCCCATGGTGACTGACCACTCACGGTATTTGTTGAGTAAACGGATGAGGGATGTATGTCGCTCAGCGGCAGTTTGGGTGTTGCCTCACTTTCCCCATCTGTGAAATGGGTCTTGCCCTCAGCCCTGTCTGCCTGACCCCCTCCCCCAGGTATCCTATGCCAGACCCAGCTCTGCCTCTATCCGAGATGCGAACCTGTACGTCAGCGGGCTCCCCAAGACCATGAGCCAGAAAGAGATGGAGCAGCTCTTCTCCCAGTACGGCCGCATCATCACTTCTCGCATCCTGGTGGACCAGGTCACAGGTCAGGCTGCCGGGGAGGGCTTATCTGGCGGGGGCACGCAGGTCAGAGACACCCAGGTGGGACCAGAGTAGAGAAACAAATGGCAGCGAGGAGGGGGCGGGGTCACACGGGACGGGGCGGGGTCCCCATGAAGCCCTCCCACCCCACTGCAGGCGTCTCTCGGGGAGTGGGATTCATCCGCTTTGACAAGAGGATCGAAGCCGAGGAGGCCATCAAAGGACTGAACGGGCAGAAGCCGCTGGGTGCGGCCGAGCCCATCACGGTCAAGTTTGCCAACAACCCGAGTCAGAAGACGGGCCAGGCCCTGCTCACCCACCTCTACCAGTCCTCAGCCCGGCGCTACGCAGGCCCCCTGCACCATCAGACACAGCGCTTCCGGTGAGCCCCCCGCTGCTCCCTGCCCCGTAGATACCCCAGACCCCCAGAACCAGGGTGCCCTAGGTTTGTTAGCTGCCCTCCTTGAACTCCGTTCCTGCACAGTGGAGAGACACCAGGACGGCGCCCACACTCTGGGGCTGCTGAGGGCAGAAAAGAGGAAATGTGGGGGCCTGTCGTGTCTTGAGGCCAGGCCCTTGTACACAGCAGGCACTCAATGTGCACAGGCCACTATGAGTATCATTATTGGCGTCAAGAGTTCTAGAACAACCCCATCAGGCCCGCCCCGGCTGCCCCCTCCCTTGGGCACGTGGCTCCAGCTGTGGTGGAGGGGCAGGCGCCCTTACTTTTTCTGCTCAGTGATGCCATGAGATCAGAGCCCATCTTGTCCCTTGAGGGACAGAGGGTCTCCAGGGACCCTGAGGCTCAGAGAGGCCGTGTCACTTGCCTGACCCAGGCACTTTGGAGAAGAGATTTGAAACTTCCCCTCTAGGGACCCAAGAGCTGGAGTTGGGGGCAGGTTGGGGGGGTGCGTGGAAGAGCAAGACTGGGTTTCTTCCGGTGTGGGAGGGTGAGGATGCCAGTGAAGAGTGGGTAGCGGCAGGACAGGCAAGAGGCGGTGCCCGAGTGAGTGACCACGGTTCCGTGCCAGGCGGTGTCCAGCCGGGCGGGGAGCAAGCGGGCGGGGGCAGGGCCGGCGGCACTGCTGGACTGCTGGGTGGGGGCGGGGAGGGCAGGCTGGCTGCCCAGTGTCACAGCCAGGGGGTGTGCCCAGAAGCCACCAGTGACCACCCCTTCTGCCTCCACAGGCTGGACAATTTGCTCAACATGGCCTACGGAGTCAAGAGGTAAGAGTGCCCCTGCCCCGCTGCCCCCAGCCCCTCAGTATTCCCTCCTGGGGCCTTTGCCCTGATGGAATCCTCCCCCACCTCACCCCCAGGACTGCCCATGTATGGGCATAGTGTGGCCATCAAGAGATCTGGGGGATATTGAGTCTACTAAGTGCCTAAAAGGGCTACTGTGAAATTTGGACCCAGAGGGCCTATCCGTGGCCTTCTGCATTCCACTGAAAGGCAGGCAGGGTTACCTGGGTCACAGCTGTGCCCCCACCGGCCACTGTTGGTCATCTGTGCTGACGGTCACAGGATGCCGCCGCCTTTCTGCCTCTTAGCTGGCAAGGAACTCTGAGGCCTCTGCTATACTGTACACATCCCTGATCCTCTGAAGGTCCCTGTGTCTATAGCATCAAGACTGAGCACATGCTGAGTGTCAGGAGCGTGGCTTGGGGCTGGGGGCCCAGCATGTTCCAGTCAGACTTGGCCCTGGTGGCCCTGGTGGAAACGAAATGACACTGAGCTTGATGCTTGGCACACAGTGTGGGCTCACTTGGTAAAAGGCTGCAGTTCTTATTATTATTGTTAATATTATTACTTACTTCAGTCGTCTGGGGAAGGAGACAGATGAACAGTGATCTGGGAGGTGAAGAGGGTAGTGACAGGTTGATGGGCATCCAATGGGGACATCACTCAGGGCCAGAAGAGAATCAGGGTTCCTGGCAGCAGAGGTGGCTTTGCAAAATTCAGGAGGAGAGAGTGAGCCCAGCAATCATATAAACAGCTAAGGCCCTTGGTGTCCTGGCTCCTGACGTGTAGAGGGGCCTCAGGAAGGCTGGGAGCCAGCGCGGGACGTGCTGAAGCCAGTTCTGCCCCTTCCTCTGTTCTTTCACTCCACACACCCCTCCCGAGGGCTGACTGGTGCTGGGAGCTGTTCTGGGCCTGGATGTGGAGGGAACAGAAACTCGCAGGGAAGATGGAGCTGAGAATAAATATCCGATGTAAATAGGAAAAGGCCTGAGGGCTTCCCTGGTGGTCCAGTGGTTAAGACTCTGAGCTTCCACTGCAGAAGGGAGCATGTTCAATCCCTGGTCGGAGAACTAAAATCCTGCATGCCTCGAGGTGCAGCCAAAAAAAACCCAAAAAACATACATACATACATGTGTGCCTACTAAGTCACTTCAGTTGTGTCTGACTCTTAGTGACCCCATGGCCTGTAGCCCGCCAGGCTCCTCTGTCCATGGGATTCTCCAGATAAGAATACTGGAGTGGGTTGCCATGCCCTTCTCCAGGGGATCTTCCCCGACCCAGGGATCGAACCCAGGTCTCTTATTTCCCCTGCATTGGCAGGTGGGTTCTTTACTACTAGCACCACCTGGGAAGCCCACCTATGTGCATACGTGTGTACATAAGTAGGAAAAGGCTGAGAGGGCCAGAGGGAGGCGGTGACCACCGTGTGAGTCAGAGGAAGCCACCCCAGGAGGTGACATCTGAGCGGAGACCTGAATAACCAGCAAGGGACACGTAAAGGCCACACTCGCACCCTGGTTCCAGCACTGCCCTTCCGGGTGGGCCTCCTCCTGGCAGGATAGCCAGTGTGGCAAAAGAGGCGGCGTTGCCAAGGGTGAGGTCAGGGTGGTGTCTGAGTGGGTGGTGAGGACAGGAATTGGGTGGGAAGAAATGCCAAGGGGAGGGTGGTAGCCAGGCGAAGGGGAAGGGGCTGAGGACCAGGTGGGGTCCAAGGTCATGGGCCCAGGAGGTGGTTTGGGGCTCAGGGAAGGATCATGGGTGAGGACCTAATGTTCAGAGAGGGTCAGGGGTCAGGACAGGGCTTCAGGGTAGAGATGGGGGGCTGGTGGCTCAGAGTGTGAGGTTTGAGGTGGATGGGGTCTCAGATGGAGGTCACAGGGCCAATGCAGGGGTCACAGTCCCGAGGTCACTGCACAGTCAGAGGTCAAGAGGGGTCAGGGGGCATGCCGGGGGTCAGGGCAGAGCCCGCGTGACCCCCAAAGTAGTCCCCTGTCGCTCATCGCCAGGTTCTCACCCATCGCCATCGATGGCATGAGCGGCCTTGCGGGCGTGGGCCTGTCGGGGGGTGCAGCGGGCGCCGGCTGGTGCATCTTCGTGTACAACCTGTCTCCGGAAGCGGACGAGAGCGTCCTGTGGCAGCTGTTCGGGCCCTTCGGGGCGGTCACCAACGTCAAGGTCATCCGTGACTTCACCACCAACAAGTGCAAGGGCTTCGGCTTCGTCACCATGACCAACTACGACGAGGCGGCCATGGCCATCGCCAGCCTCAATGGCTACCGCCTGGGCGAGCGCGTGCTGCAGGTGTCCTTCAAGACCAGCAAACAGCACAAGGCCTGAGGCGCCGCCGCCCTCCCCACCCTCCCCGGGCAGCAGAGACAGAGAGAGAGAGAGAGAGAGAGAGAGAGAGACAGGGGGCCCGAGAGAGACAGCGCAGGCAGACCACGGACGGCACGAGGGCCCTGCGTCCCTGCAGAAGCCACAGGGTGAGCACTTGGTGGGAGGGTCTGCAGGGAATGGGGGGTGCCTGGGGGCCCCCTCCCCCACCCCAACGCCCCTCCCCACTAGGCTGGGCTGTTCACTCTCTCGTCTTGGTTTCGTTCATGGTGAAGGTTTTTGTTTCCTTTTTCGGCTAAAATGAAAGCAGAGATGTGCCCCTAGCCCACCACTCAACCACCCTCCACGGATGGCTTGGGGTGGGGGGCATTGGGGGTGCCCTCCCAGGCCCCCTTGCCCAGGCCTCCCCAGTTACCTAGGTGAGCCTGAGAGGGGGGGGAACAGGTTTAAAAATCCCCAAAAAAGTGAAACATGAGAGGGGTGTGGTCAGCCCTGGCCCAGAGCCCCTTGGTGTGGAATGTGAGGAGCAGGGGGAGGGGCTGGAAACAGAGACAAAATGAAAAAAAAAAAGGGGGGGGTGGGAGGGGAAGAAAAACTCTATTTTTGTAAAAAGGGAAAAAAGACCTCGTGGAGAATTTTTACTGGGGATTCTTGAACTTGAAAAAAAAAAAAACCACAAAAAAAGACAAAAAAAATATTTTGGCAGGTTATGTTTACCAACTGGGGCAGGGACAGGGAGCAGGGCTTAGGAGCTGAGGGTCCGTGGGGCCACACAGAGAAACACAGCCACGCAAAGATCCACAGGGGCAGGCACATGTACACACCCCCAGGGACACACACAGCAGCAGAGGGACCCAGAGACACGCCTCAGGAAAACTCCTTGGCCCAATAAACATGGAAGAGCAAAGTATGGGGCCACACACGATTGGCCATGGTGGACTCGGACATGGGCGAATGTGGCCAAGGGCAGAGGTGGCCACAGGTGGGTGTGGCCAAGGACAAATGTGGACACGTGAACATGGGAACATTACCCCACGTGCACGTGGCCATGTGGAGACAGATTCATTTGGACATAAATCTAGACACCCAGGCATGGAGACACATAGTCACAACACCCAGAGACACGCAGACACGCCCACAGCATCGTTCAGGCCCAGGTGAGCGGCCACAGCCCAGACCCCAGCCCAGTCCATAGCCCACTTCCTCCGTTAGCAAGGCCGGCCGGCCCCACCCCACCCCCGACACTCCAGCCCCACTGGCCCCGCCCCAGGTTCTCTGCAGAGATCTCTCCTGGCTCCTCAGTGGTCCCTGCTGCCCACGATCACAGGCGTGCACACACAGCGTCCATGCATCCAGACACAGGATACCTCGTTACCCTTTTGGCATCACGGTGGGCTGGAGGCAGCCCCCCCAACAACACTTGAGGCCAAAGGAACCCCCACCCCGAACCCTAGGGCTGAGCCTCCCTGGGCCAAGGCCCTGGCCCACAAGGCCAAGGGGGAGGCTGGGCCCTGAGCCTCCCCGCTCTAGAGCCTCCCCCAGCAGCAAGCGCCCACCACTTTCCTGGACAGGCCCAGGGTGGATTGGCCCAGGGGCCCAGCCCCATCTTTTCTTCCCATCCACTTGTCACCCCCTTTCAGTTTGTTGGGTTTTTCTGTCTTTCCAGATCAGTGAGGGCAGTGGACGCAGCAGCCCCCATCCCGAGCCCCAGCCTCGGCTTCTGTCTGGACTTTTCCATCCTCCTAGTTTTCATTCTTTGTTTAAAAAAAAAAATCCAACAGAAGCCAAAGGCGGGAGCCCCCGGGAGCCCTCGCAGCCCCTCACCCCCACAGTGGGCCCAGTCAGAACCGAGAATGGCAAACCCCAGTTTCAGCCCCTCCTCCGGTGTCCCTGCGTTTGGTGTCTGGCCTTGGCCCCATCTGACTGCCCAGCTCTCTCTCCCCCACCCCTCCCGGTGTTGTTATTAAACGTCTGTGGAGCTTCTGCTGCAAGGAACAAAAAGAAAAAAAAAAATCAAAAAAGCGACAAAAAAACACAAACAGAAGAGGAAAAAAGCGACAAAAAAAAAAAAAAATGGAAGAGAAAAAACCACACACACAGAAGAGATTTAAAAAAAAAAAGAAAAAAAAAGACATAAACTGGCACCAGTTAACTTTCTTGTACTTTTTTGCCGAATTGAGCTTCTTGTAGTTTTAACTTATTGCTATGTTAACTATTTATCCTTGTTGCCCTGTAAGGACATTTGTGTATATTTCTGTTCCTTCATCCAGTTTGCAAGTTTAAAGGAACCACGATGTTCTCTTTGTTTCTTTAAGTTTTGCCGAGACGTGGTTATGCCTAATTTATTTATAAAAGGGGAAGTGGAATCATTAAAGTAATAATAATTATTAATAACAGTAATGGTAGCCGAGCGGCGCCCCGTGGGGGGGCCTGTGCTCTGCAGGGCGGTCCCTGCAGCCAGCGACGTCCGGGGTCTTTAATGGGATTATTTTTGCTCGTCTTGAGAATTTTTTCAGTCCTATTTAGCTGGTGAAACCCTAGCTTGTTCTTGATACACGAACCTATTTATTCTTGTGGTTTTTAAGTCCTCCCCAACCTCCCCTCTCCCCTCCAGCAGGGCAGGCCCCCCAGCGGGTCCATCCCTCTCCCTCTGTTTTCTTGGGGCTTTCTCCCCTCTGCCGTCCGCCCGCAGCGACGCGTGTCCACACGTGGACAGCGTGGCGGAGGCATCTGTGAGCAATAAGGGCTGGGTTTGTCCCACACCCTGGGGGAGGCCGGGCTCCAGAGAGGGGGCACCTCCCCACACCCCCTCAACTGAGGCCCTGGGCCCCTGCCACCCCCAACTGGGAGGGGACTCCTTTTTCTAAAACACAGAACTCAGCCCAGCCAGCCAGGCCCCTTTCCTGGAGGCCAGCCCCTCACCCCAGGGGAGGTGGGGCCTGGGGTCTTCCGCATCCCTGCGTGGGGCAGGGGCAGGGCCCGTGGGGAAGGGGCTCAGCCCCTCCAGCCCTCCCTTCATCCTGTTATTTATTTGGATGGTTTCAAATCAAGACAGAGTCCATGTTGGAGGTGATAAAGAACTGTTACAAAAAAAAAAAAGACAAAAAAAAACCCCAAAACCCAACAAGAACACTTTGCGTTGAGTTTAGACACTATTTATTACCGGGATTACAGGCCTGGCCGCGGTAACAGACTTTTACATGGAATTGTTTAATTATTTGTACTTTTCATGCCAGAAAAATAAAAGTTCAGAATCTTATGGCCTCAGGTGTCTGCTTCCACACACCAGTCAGCCCTGCAGTGTGGCTGAGTGCAAGCCACTGCCCCTCTCTGGGCCTAGCTCACATCTGGAGCCCCCTGGCTTCCCCACAGCACACGTGTGATTGGGGGGGTGGGGTCTGAGACAGCCCAGGTGGAAGCCCAGACAGAAGTGACCCAAGGGCTGTCTGCTTATGTGGCTCCAGGCTGCTGTCCATGGGGCATCTCAGGTAGGACCCTCAAGCTGTGGAGCCAGGCCCCCCAGGATCTGCACGGCAGCTTCCCCCACCCCACTTCTTCCACACCCCAGCAAAGCCAGACAGAAACAGATGAGTTGGAGGGATCATGTTTATTGTTTGGGGTTCACAGGTCAAGTCACTTCCCCACCAGGAGGGAAGGCAGATGCCCTGGGTGGGGGGCAGGGCGGGCCAGGCCACCAGGGTGTGGGGGCCCAGGTAGGACAGGCTCCTTTATTCCACTGGGGAGGCAGCCGGGGCCTGGGAACGTGGCTCTGCCCCGCTGGCCAACCAAAAGCAGGGCATGGAGCCTCACCTGCTTCCTGCCCTGTGGGTGGGTGAGGTGACCCACAAGGGCAGGCCGTGGTCCACAGACTGAGGGGCGATGGGCAGCACCACTGGGGGCTGGTTCCGTATCTTGATTTCTGGGACCAGAGAGAAACCAGATGAGACAGATGAAGGGTGATGGATGGGGGAGCACCCGTGTGGCCAAGAGCTTCACCCCCCACCATGCCCCCGAGCAGAAGGGGACGGGCGGGACCCCCAGCTCCCCACCCACCTCTGCACTGGGCAGGGTGGGGCGGGGCTAGAGCTCGTCATGGTCGCCCTCCACGGGGTACTCAGGCGGGGGCTCTGGGCAGGCAGCCGGCGTCATCAGCTCCATGAGGTACTCGCAGCGGCTGGGCTCCGTGGTGCTGGTCACCACAGTCTCCTTCCCGCACAGCAGGCGTACCTGGCGTGGGCAGGTGGGGCTCAGGCGGGCTCTGTGGGCCTGGGTCCCCACTCCACTGCCCCCAGCCCGCGGGCACTCACGGTGGTGGAGCGATTGGGGCCCTGCCAGCAGCCCGTGCCCTGCTCATACTTCATGGCGCTGAACTTGTCGTGGTCGGGGCCAGCCCACGAGCCCCAGGTGCTATGGGAGAGTGGGGTGCTGAGAGGGGCCGGCCAGGGGGGGGCCGGGGTGGGGGATGAGGGGCCGAGAGGGGGGCCTAGCCCAAGCTCACTCACCCAAGGCTGGTGGGGGAGCCACCGAGTTTGGGTTTCTGCGAAACAAGCTTGAAGGGGCAGAGTCTGTAGATGTACCTGTCAGGGGATGAGGCTGGTGGGTGGGGAGACAGGGGTCCCAGCCTCCACAACATCCCCCCACACCAGGGCCATGCAGGTACCTCAAATCCCAGTGGCTGCGCCTAAGCCCACGCCCCTCCCTCCCCACCCCGTCCTTGCTCAGGCCCAGACCCGCCGAGCCCACCCACCACTCGTGCCCACAGGGGACGCACTCATTGGTGGTGAGCTCATAGCACTGGCTGTAGAGGTAGGCGAACTCGCCGTTGGGGCCGAAATCAAACGAAACCTCCTGCTCCAGGTTCCTAAAGGGGAGGCCCGGAGGTTAAGGGGCAGTGGGGGATGCCAGCCCGACTCAGGACAACGCGGGAAGGCCCGCTGCAGTGGCGGAGGGCCTCTCGGGGCCTGAGCTCCAGCCCCCACCGCCTGGGGACTCTCCCTGCGGGAACCACCGCCAGCTCGCAGAGGTTGCCTGAATGACCGCCGCCCCCAGGGAGTCGGGCAGCAGGCGGCCACAGGGCAGCGGAGAAGTGGCTCGTACCTGATGGATTCTTCCATGTCCTTCAAGGACCGCTCGGCCTCTTCAAACTTGTTGCGGGCCTCCTGGGCGGCTGGTGGGGTCAGGACAGAGGTCAGAGGTGCCCCCACCCCATCCATGAAGACAGGGCAGAGGGTAGCGCAGACAAGCCTGATTCTCCCAGCCCCAGGGCTGGCTCTGGGTGAGGACAGGGCCCAGGAAGACCCTCTGGGCCTTGCCAGCCGCCGGGCAGACCCCTCCCCCCTGCCGAGGCTCTCAGCTCATGAGGGAGCAGGGCCAGAGCTCCTGGGGCCCTGCTGGCTTCTCGCCTGCCAAGGGTGACACAAACAACAGCCACCCACGAGGAGGCAGAAGGGCCCCTGGGACTGGTGTGGTGGTGCCAGCTTCCCCAGGCCCCAGAAGCCCCCTCCAGGTGGCCCGGAGTCCCCTGGGCTTGCCTGGGCCAGGCCCAGGCCCCCTCAAGGAGCAGGCAGGGCCTGTTTCTTGGGCCCCTGCACCTGCGGGCGACAGGGAGGGGCCCCTCCCTCCCAGGCTCAGCCCTACCGCTGATGAAGGCCTGCGTCTGCTCATCATATGGCGGCATTCTGTCCTCCTCGGTGGGGCTGGCCGTCTGGGGGGCTGGGCCTGGGGGTAGGGTGTCCTGGGGGTGGGGGGAGAGAGTCAGCGAGTGACCCCACTACCACCCGTCACCCGCTTCACCCCGAACGCCCACCTTGGACTGCTCCCCCTGGGAATCCTCGTCCTCCTCCTCCTCCTCCTCCTCCTCTGTCTCCTCGTCCTCCTCGGCCTCGTCCTCCTCCTCTGTGGGTGGCGAGGGCATGGGGGGCTGCTCCTCCTTGGGTTCCATCACATCGGGTGCAGGAGGCGATGGTGGGTACTCGGTGGGCAGCACCTGCCGGATGTGCGGAGAGGTCGTGCTGAGGACTCGGGGTCCACCCCCACCCCCAGGGCCGGGGGCCAGGCTCCCACCATCGCCCAAGGGCGGCCTTGTGTCTCCACCCCTTCCAAGGAGCCTAGAGAGAGGGAGGGAGGGGCAGACAGCTGGGGGCGGGGTGGCTTCTGTAGAGGAGGTGGGGCCGCCCAGCTGGCCAGGGTGGCCCCGTGCCAGAGCCGGAGGCAGTGCCTTTGTGAGGCGCCCAGGGGCGGGGCGGGGGCGGGGACCACATCCCTTCCCCTCCCTCTCCTGACCTCAGACCGGTACTTGTCCCTGATGGCGGCCCAGACGCGGTCATAGAAGAAAGCAGCGTCCATCTGCGCGTCTCCCCCAAGGAGGGTCTGTGTGCGACAGGTTGGGGTGGGGTCAGGGGCAGGACCTCCACGTGCCCCCCACCTCCAACCCAGGCACTCTCGTAGTGGGTGCAGGGGCCCTCAGGCTGCGGTGCCAGGCACAGCACGCGCTGACTTGCCCGGGGCCAGCCTAGAGCCGGGCTGGGTGAGGAGCGGCTGCCAGAAGGGGGCAGCACAGGCCTGTGGGAAAGAGGAGGGGGCCAGGGAGGTGCGGGGGCGCGGACTGCAGAAGCCAGGGAGAGGAGCAGAGAGACGGACAGCACAGAGCCAGAGGCCAGGGTGCGGCGGGGCGTGGGGACCAGCAGGGCAGTGTCCTTGGGTACCAAGGAGCAGGGCTCCAGACCAATGAGGACAGAGCTGTGAGGAGGGAGCCCAGGTGTGTGCACTGGGTGGGGGGGCATGGTTACAGGGACCCTAACTCTGCCCACTAGACACCCTGAGGCACCCACACGACTCCACTAGGCCCCACAGGGAAGGGAGAAAGGCCCTGGGCAGCCCCTCCTAGTCACCAAGCAAGGCCTGGCCACACCAGCCAGGCTGGGCGTCCCCAGAACTCTGGCCCTGGGCTAGCAGGGAACTTTCCACGGGAGTAGCCCACAGAAGGCCTGCCTCTGGCCAGCCCCCGCCCCCCCCCTGAGGTCACCCTGGGGCAATCCCCTCCAGGCATCCCAAGCGAAGGGGTGGGCTGAGTACCTGGGCTTCCCCTTCTGATAATGCCCCGTCCCCATCCATGTCCAGCTCTGGGTGGGTCTGCAGCTCAGCCACCGAGACCCTGCAGGGACAAAGGCAGAAGCCGATGGAGCAGGGAGACCATGGGCTCCTGGTCAACTGCCCCCAACCCCCACCCCGGGCCAGGGCTCCTCCTGAGAACTTGCTTCAGGACCTTGGGGCAGGGAGAGACGGCAGGCAGGAAGGTGGGAAAAAATGAGGTCTGGGGTTAGGGCCCAGTCTGGTCTCCACCCTGGGAAAGGCAGGTCCGAGCCACCCCGTCCGCTGCCTCCTACCCACTCCTGAGGCTCCACAACCCTGAGGAGCTCAAGGGAGGGACAGACACAGGGGTGGGAGTAAGAGACAACCCTGTGTCCTCAAGACCCAGCTTCCACTTCCTTCCACCCTTAGAACCGAACACAGGGAAATGCCCTTGGCCTGGTATCCTCCACCCTAGGAAACCCAAACACCCATGGTGGCCCAGGTCCCACATCCTGCCCCTACCCCGCTGCCCACCGCCACTGCCCACCAGGAACGGGACCGCCCTGTCCATGCTGCCCCCAGCACCCCTCCAAGTCCCAGGCCTCCCACCAGGGGGCCTGCCCAGCCTCCCTGTTCCCAAAGGCCCACCCTCCACTGAGCCATTGGCCTGGGGCCGGCCAGCAAGTTCAGGGGCACTGGCCAGGATTTCATCTTTCACTAAAGCGTCCCAGGTCACAGAGTAGGCTTTCAAAAACCACTGAGATCCTGAGTCCCCCTGTCCAGCTCGAGGGGGTGTTTTCCCTCATCTCTCCCCCACCACCCCCCACGCCCCCAGGGGATCGGGCTCCAGGGCAAGGAGGTGGGCTCTGGCTGGTTTCCTAAAGGCCGGAAGAGAGAGGCAGGAGCCCGGGGCAGGTGGGGCTGGCACACTCACGCCCCGTCCATGTCATCGTCCAGCTCTTGGAAGGCGCTGGCTGCCAGCTCCCGCTCCCGCTGCTCCTTGGAGGTGGCCTGCTGCTCTGTGGAAGAACCAGCTCCATCACCCTCCATCCCCAACGCCCCCCGGGCTCACCATGTGCCTGGCCCTCTGGGTGCTGGGGCTGGGGCTCTGAGTCAGGCCACTGCGGGGGGGCAGACTGGGGGCAGGAGCTAGGCAATGAGAAGGGCTGGCCTGTGTGGGGTGGGGGGCCAAGGAGGTGGGCAGTGCCAAATGGATGGGGAATCCAGGAGGGGCAGCTGGGGGCATCTGCAGAGAGTCTGAACCATCCGTGACAGTGCAAGGGGTAGGACCAGAGGTGTGCCACGTTCAGGAGGCCCCCAGGAGAAGCGGTCAGGGGACACAGGCTGGGGTGGGGGTGCAGCCAGGCGAGGCAGATGTCCTGGGGGCCTGTCCCAGCACAACCGGCTCAGGGGGCGCTCAGGAGAGCAGCCCCAGTGCAGCTCAGCCCTCTACTCCAGGATGAGCGGCCTGTGTCCCGGGAGACCCCAGCAGACAGCCAACAACATCCTCACAAATGAGGGCCCCAGGCGCAGGTGGATGAAAGGAGCTGCCCACGGTCACCCAGCTGGCGAGGGGCATAGCCGGGGGCCCAAAGCAGGCCACATGCCTCCAGAGTCCACGCTCATCCCCACCACCCTCTGGGAATCCCAGCGAAACCGCCATGGCGTGTCACCCCTGAACCTGAGTCAGCAACTCCACACTAAGAAGCTGCCCAGCCTTGTGTGAAAGGATGCTAGATGTGGCGCAAAAGAAGATGGAAAGAGAAGCAAAGACCAGAGTTCGTTCACTTTGTAACACGTGGCCCGGGAAGAGAGTAAAGGAACCTGGCACCAAAGGTGAATGAGAGAACATCTGCAACTTCAGTCACAAAGGCCGACCCCTTGATACACAAGAGCCGCTTACAAGCAATGGAGACCAGAACCAAAAACCTGAAGGGAAAAATGGTACCTGGACGAGGCAAACCCCACCAGGGTCACACACTGGAATAGACAGCTCATGGCTGGAGCAGAGGCCCGGGAGCAACAAAAAGCAGCAGTTTCGCAGGGCTGGAGGGGCAGGTACACAGGGTACAGAGAGCAGGGAGAAGTCCTTCACAGTAGGGGGCGTTGTAAGCGGGCAGTGGTGGCCCAAATGCTGTCCCACCCAAGGTACTGGGGAGCCAGGAAGACTGCTGGGCCAAAGAATGGCTTGGCCTCATGGAGGGAGGCCATCAGGAGGCCAGAAGGGCCAGAATGGGCTCAGGGACTTCCCTGGGGGTCCAGTGGTTAAGAATCAGGCTTCCAGCAAAGAACAGGAATCTGTGCAGGGGAAATGGGTTCGATCCCCGGTCCAGTGGGATTCCACATGCTGTGGAGCAACTAAGCCTGAGTGCTATCTCTACTGAGCCTGTGTGCCGCAACTACTGAAGCCCGTGGACCTAGAACCCGTGCTTTGCAACAAGAGAAGCAGCTGCAGTGAGAAAGCCCCACATCCTAACAAAGAGTAGCCCCCACTTGCCACAACTAGAGAAAGGCTGTGAGCAGCAACGAAGACCCAGCATGGCCAAAACTAAATATAAATTAGTAATAAAAAAACAGCCTTCTGATGCTAGTAATTCTAATAAAGAATAATAATTTAATAGAATTTAATAAATAGAAATTTAATAATTTAATAGAATCTAATAATCCTAATAAAGAATCAATGCAGGGGACACATTTCTGGCTGGGGAACTGAGATAACACCTGCCATGCGGCAGCTAAATCCGCCTGCCACAACAAGAGAAGCCCCCACACCATGCAACAAAGACCCAACAGGCAAAAAAAGCTGGGCCCTGAGCGAGGCAGGAGCAGGCTGGTGACTCAAGCCTGCAGATAAGGGGCAGGGTCTACAATCAGAGTAACGTGGGCATCAGTCTAGCTGGGCAAGCCAGTGGCCTCTTTGGCCTCAGCTTCCTTGTTTGTGAAACGATGTGATGTCTGGGAAAGGGGAGCAGGGGCAAAAACACGATCCTTGTGAAACGAGCACTGGGTGCTCTGGTCTATCCACCGTCAGTGTGGGAGAGAATACTGGTGTCTTCATCGGGGTCAGCAAACTTTACTGTAAAGAATCCAACGCTAAATATTTTAGGTTCAGCAGGTTGTAAGGTCCCTGTTGGCAACCCCTGAAGTCTGTGGCTTTATCACAGAAGCAGCTGATGGTATGTAAACAAAGAGGGGGAGTCTCTGCTCATTTACCAACACGGTCTCCGAGTGTCTGTGCATGCGTGCGTGCTGCTCAGTCATGTCTGACTCTGTGACCCCATGGACTGTAGCCTGCCAGGCTTCTCTGTCCATGGGATTTCCCAGAGAAGAATACTAGACCAGGTTGTCATGCTCTCCTCCAGGGGATCTTCCCAACCCAGGGATTGAACCTGCATCTCTTGTGTCTTCTGCACTGGTAGGCAGAGTCCTTACTGCTAGCACCACCTGGGAAGCCCATGGTCTCCTTGCTGCTCCTTAAAAACTAGACAAGATGCAGCCTCATGACCTCTGAGCCTGTCCCTTCTATAGGCAGAGGGCTTCCTCCGTCTTGTTCAATGCTGTATTGTGGGCACCTGGGATAGACCCGGCACATTATAGGCACGCAGTAGATGCTTGTCAGATGAACGACTGATCAGGACAGAGAGAGGGAAGGGCAGAAGAACACAGCAGATGCTCCAAGAGATGGAGGGGATCACAGCACGGCCTCAGAAGGCTACCAGCCGCCGGTCACCAGCCCTGTGACTGGCTGGGGCCACGGCTCCAAATACTTCTGGCAATGCTTGGTCTTGGTCTTTTAACTAGCCTGGAGTGGGATTCTGCCCCACCTCTCCCTTCTATCCACCTTCCACCATGTATGTCCCTGCACACAGCAGACTGAGAACAAATGCCAAGGCTTCAGATTATTCACAACAGCGGCACAATCTGCCCACAGCAAGAAAATACTGGACCAAGCATTTAAAAAAAATTACCTTAAAACCAACCCCAGGCAGTAGGAGCTGCCAGCGCAAAGAGGAAGTGAAGAAGATAAGAGAAGGTAGAAGCTGCTTTCATCCTAAGGGATTTTGCCAAGCCTGGCAAATGTGGATGTCCATTCTGATAACTTGTGAGGGAAGGGAAATGAAAATCAAGGTCCAAGGTGACCCAGCCTGTAACTATGACCCCATGGGACTCCCCTGAGGGCTAAGCTGGGCCAGGAATCAGCCAGCCCTTGCTCGGACCTCAGCTCACTCTGCCTGGGGGGGCTGGAGGAAGCTCCAGCCTCGACTTCAGACTCGAGGTCCCTGAATCCAGTGTTCCCACAGAGAAGGCAGAAAGAAAAGCCCCTCTTGAGAGAAGGACCTCTCATCAAAGCTGCAAGTTACTGCTATAAATGACTTTTAAACACAATGGTCAACACACAGTTGAAGATAATGAGGCACCTGGGGAACTAAGGTGCCGTGATTTTAAAAAAATCAGTGCAACGACAGACAAGAGACAATGAGCAAGAGACTCCTGGGCCCAGACTCTTCCCTGCCAGGAGCCAAGGGGGAGTCAGAGCCACGCCGGGACACAGCAACGTACCTTCCCACAGCTTACGGTGCTGGTCTTTGGCCTCCTTCTCTGGCTTCTCGGCTTCCTCCTTCAGTGTCCGGAGCATCTCCACTTGGTCCTCCAGTGACTTCTTTCCAGCCTGCAGCTCAATGAGCTTTTTCTGGGAAGGCAGAAGACAGAGGCCGGCTCTCATCCTGTTCTTCCCTCTTCCTCTCCTGCCTCTATTCCACATTATCTTTTCCTAATACACACCCCTCCTGGATCTCCCCCAACCCCTGCTGCTGTGGTTCTCTGCGGCCCACTGGGGAGAAATCCAAACACCTCAGTGTAACCCTGAGGCCCTGCATAACCAGGACCCTGCCCCACTCTCCAGCCTCATCCAACCCTTTGCTATCTTAACTGCCCTAACAACATTCAAAACCCCCCACACACTCTGCCCCCGTTTTCCACACAGGCTTTCCTTCTGTCTGCAACACTCTGCCTGGCTAACTCTCAATAAACCTACAGATTTCAGTTTAGATGGAGACCTCCTCTTCCAGGAAGTCTTCCTTACTTCCTATGCCCCAAGGCGGGTTCAGAGAGCAGAGGGACCAAGGCAGGGAACATGCGTTTGATCCCTGGCCCAGGAAGACTCCACGAGCCGAGGAGCAGCTAAGCACATGCGCCACAACTACTGAGCCTGTGCTCTAGAGCCTAGGAACTACAACTACCAAAGTCCACGTGCCTAGAGCCTGTGCTCCACCGTAAGAGAAGACACTGAATGAGAAGCCCGCCTGCCGCAACTAGAAAAAGCCTGTGTGCAGCAATGAAGACCCAGCACAGCTAAAAATAAAATTCTTTTAAAAAACTGATTGTTTAAGAAAGGGGATTTCCCTGGTGATCCAGAGGCTAAGACTCTGCACTCCCAATTCAAGGGGGTCAGTTTGATCCTTGGTCAGGGAACTAGATTCCACATGCTAAAATTAAGACCCAGCACAACCAAATAAATAAAAATAAAAAATATTTAAAAAGGAAGGATGGAAGGAACTGTGTGCTGGGTGGGCTCCAGCCTAAGAATGGGGGTCCTAGGCTGTAGGGTCCCTCCCAAGACTTTGGCTGACACCTCAACCTGATCTGCTGCCGGGGTCCTCCTGGTGGCCCAGGAGGTCAAAGGTCACGGCACCAACTTCACCGTGTGGCTAAGCCCTGGAAGGATCTCACTGGCCCTGAATACACTGCCCCCTATGAATTCGGGAGACACCTCACTAGCCAGGCCATGGGGGTGGGAGAGGAAGACCCGACCCTTCCCCAGTCTGAGAAACAGAGCTGGGGCCCTTGCTCAGAGGGTTAAGCGGGAGCCCCGAAGGGGAGTTGAGGACTCTGACCCACCAGTTAAGGGGGTGGCAGACAGGCAGGGGGAGACACATCCCTGGGGACTCACCCTCTTCGGCCCTCCCCCGACACCTCCCCAGCACCCACCCTACTTAACTTACAAATGAGAGCACCCTGGAATCTGGAGGAGAGGTGACCCTCCTCCGAGCCCACCGTGGTCTGCACCCAAGGCCTAGGTCCATGCCTCGACTGGCTGCCACCCACCTGGTACCAGCCTAAGCAACGACTAAACACCAAGTAGACACCAGGGTCCAAGGCGCAGACAGACAGCAACTGGCCCCAGAACACCCCTGGTCGGGAGCAAACGTAAACCCCAGCCAGCCCCCCAGCCTTCAGGTTGTCCTGGGTCAGCCCCACCAGGCCCCTCACCTGCTTCTCCTCCCGGGCCTTCTTCCAGTCCTCAATCAGGATTTTCTTCAGGCGGAAGCCCTCGCGGGTCACCTCTGCCATCTGCTGCAGTGTCTCTCTCTCCTTGCGGCCCTTCTCTCTGGGGGGAAGGGAGAGCATTTAGTGTCCACTAGGTCTGCCTCTTCCCAAGGGGTCCAACCCCCCGCCATCGCCCCATCATGTGGGCAAAAACAGGAGCTCAAACACTGCTGCTCCTTCCTCCCCCAGGTTCTCCTGGCTTCAGAGCCCCTCATCCCTGTCCTAGAGAGGAGGGGCAGTGGACAGGGCTCGCTCAGCCTCAGGATCATGGGAGGGACTAGAGGGTGCTGGGATGTGGGGCTGGAAGGAGACTCCCAAGAGAAGAAAGAGAAGAGCACACGAGTCACAGACTCCCTGACACAAGGGCTGTCTGGCCAGTACACAAAATCTGGTCAGTCTCTCTCTACTTAAGAGACCTTCCATCAGAGGGGTTTATGGAAGTGTCACAACGCTCACCTTCTCTGAAAAACGTATCTGGCCCTGCCACCTGCTCCCAACTCACAGGAGTGGAGGGGGGCTGTCCCTCTTAAATGCCACAACCCCATCACTCTCTGACTGCCTTACACTCAGCCTGCGTGTGTTTGCTTCCACCCACCTGCCTGTGGGCATTTCAGTTTTCAGGTCCTGCTGCAGTGGTGCAATTAAAAGCACAGAGCCCCAAGTTAGACCGAGCTGGATTCGAGTCCTGGTTCTGCTATCTCTTAGCTATGAGACCCTGAGGAAGTCATTTTCCTTTCTGAGCATGAGCTCACTCATCAGCTCAACAGGCAAACACATTACACTCAGTTCCGGGCCAGAAGGAAAACTGCTGATAGAGCATTCACAGAGCACCTGGCACCAGGTGAGCCCTTGATACACAAAAGCAGGGAAGAGAGGAAACCCGATTCACCTAGCAAGGCGAGGCAAGGTTTCGGGGGAGAGGGGGGCGAGGGAAGAGGGGTGTGTCAGCTACGTACTTGCAGGTGTTCTCACAGACGATCCCACTGTTGTATTCATCGGTCCCGTCACAGCAGTCTGAGGGCAGACATGGGGGTGCCTTCAGGACTCCCCCGCCACCCCGCAATGCCTCCTTCCCTCTGCCCAGCACCCTGTCCCCCATCCTGGGGCCAGTTCATTCACCACACACTCCATCGTTGACCCATCTGGAGGAGATATACAGGGGCTTGTAGCCTGTGTTGGTGCAGTGGAAGCTGCCATTGGGACAGGCAGCTGTGCCTGTGGGGAAAGGAGGGAAGGAGGGTTTGTGGAGTGGGCTCAGGATCCGGCAGGTCGCACCCACCACATGCACACGCGAGCATGAGAAATGTGAGAATAACTGATGCCAAGCAAGGGGAGGAAGGACCACTGCACTTTGGGGGCCTGAAACAAAACGCTCCTGGGCTCCCTCCTGCCTCTCCGCACCAGGGCCCTCTGAACTGGGTCCTACCAAGCCCTCCCCCTCTCCCTCTGGGCTCCCATAGCACCTCCCCATCTCCTCAACAAACCACTGACCCACTTTAGTCTGTGCTTGCTTGCCTGCACTCAACAGAGAGCCCTGTGAGGACGGGACTGGGTCTGTCTGGGACACCACACAGGACGTAGCACTCACCAGCTCAATAAATGTACAATGAATGAATGGATGGATGCATGGATGAATGGAGAAAAAGCTCACCTGGTTCATCTGAGCCATCTTTGCAGTCACAGTAGTCGTCATTGACCTGATCAAAGGGGATACTGGCAGAGCCATCCAGGCAAGTGAAAGGCTTTGACTCGTCGTAGAAGTGATGGTCTGGAGAAGGGGACAAGGGGCCCAGTTCAGGGCAGGAAGAGAGCCTTTTCCACCCAAAGGTACCTCTTCCCACTCCCACCGGCTAAGCATTGCAACCTGCCCTGCCCAGAGTCCAGAACACTGAGACCGAAGGCTGTAAGTGCCTATCCCAGAACCTCCCACACCCCACCCCCACTTCTGGCCACCTCCAGTGGCTCACTCACTGGTGAGGGAGACGCCGCGGGGTCGCTTGACCTCCACGGCCCAACACATCGGCAGCAGCAGCAGCAGTAGTAACATCTCGCTGAAGCCTTGGAAGCCGGAAATGGGTTCTGTCAGAAGGAGGCTACTGGGAGATGCACTGTGGCCCCACGCTGCAGCGAGAAAGGGGCGGCAGGTCAGTGGGAGAGGGCTCCTTCCAGCCGAAGGAAGGTGCCTCTCCCTCCGGTCAAATGGATTCCTTCATCGCTCCGGGCAAAGAGGTCTCACTTAACCTCCCACACTGGGGGCACGGGGGCCGAGGCGGAGGCGGGGGAGGGGATCTCCCCAGTCCTACCTAGTGGAAGGGAATCTCACTTGGCCCAAATCAATGGTGAGCGGAACTCAAAACCTCCGCTCCCTATGGGTCGGAGGTGGTTCGCTATCCAGTTCCCGCCAATCGGCCCAAAGGGTTAACAGTTTCCCCCTCTCCAAACCCACACCCTTCGGCTGCCCCTAATAGGAAGTTGCGGGTGGGGGGCGCCTCCCGCCCACTAGTCCACCACGTACACGAGGCTGGGGCAAAGGTCAATATCCACCGCGCCCCCCTGACCCAGCAGCCAACGGTTCCTCCTGCAGAAAGGAAGCGGAAGTGTGTGAGAATCATCACTTCCGGCATTACGCTCCGCTCCCGGAACGGCGGGACCTGGCTGCCATGTTGGGAGTGGCATGTGGCAGGCTTGGAACACAGTCGGCCATCTTGCATAGGACTGAAACCTGAAAGGGAATAGTTCTGAAGGTTCGCGCTTAATGGCGGCGCAAGGTGCCTCCATCTTGGGAGTGGCGGGTTCTGAAGCCCGAACAGAAAGTTCCTGAAAAATGCCCGCGAAACCCCACACCGCCGCCTGCGGTGGGGTTGGGATGGAGAGGTGGGGAGCAAAAAGGATGAGCACATGACTCAAAAGTACCCTCCCCCATCTTTCTGCGGCCTGCTCTGCTTGGTCCCATGCAGGGGCCGCCCCTCCGCTCAAAGTCAGCCAATGAGAGTCGTAGACTGGAACGCGGGCTGTTTCCATGGGAGCACTGGAGGGAGGCGGGGAAGGTTACCTAGCAACCGGAGATGCGGCTAGGTCCCGCCGAGCGGTCGACTAGTGCTTTCCCAGAGTCCGAGGAACCTGAATTCAAGAATCCTAGGCAGAGGCAATTCCCCTGACCCCCAGAGGTCCTCGGCCTCAACCCAATCATGACGTCTCCCCTGTGCTGGGCGGCGGCCTCCAACGCCATACCTTCTCAGGACCAAATTGCAGCCCCCTCCAAAGTCAAGGCCACTCAAGTTCAGCTCAAGCCCTACCACTCTCGAGGCAAGGGCTTGGTGCCTGTCTGGCACTCACCTCATTCCAAGACAGGACCCTTCCATGCCAGCGAGGGGAAGTCCGCTGTGAACATGCAGGTGGCTGAGTTACAAAGGAAGATACAACTGTTAGGTAAGATGACTCCAGAGGGCCCAGGATGGTCGAGTCAACAGCCCTCTGACCTGGCAGGAATTCTTTCACTAGCTTTCGTCCAGGTGTCCAGTATCCGGAGGCAAAAATTCATGCTTGCTCATGGTTTTCCTCATCTTATACAACTTTTCCTGAGCTCAGAACCTTCTGAACTGTATTTCATACTTTTACGTGTGTCCAGGCTAAGTCATTTCAGTGGTGTCTGACTCTGTGCGACCCTATGGACTGTGCCCTGCCAGGCTCCTCTGCCCATGGGATTCTCCAGGCAAGAATTCTGAAATGGGTTGCCATACCCTTCTCTAGGGGATCTTCCCAAAACAGGGATCCAACCCACTTCTCTCACATCTCCTGCATGGGCAGGCAGGTTCTTTTACCACCAGTGCCACCTGAGAAGCCCCTACTTTTATGTAGTTTCAACTTTTCTAAAATGCATGGGAGGATGAAGGATATAGATTCTAGAGGCAGATTTTCTGGGTTCAAATATACTGGCTCTACATATGCTAATAAAAGCTGTTTGATCTTCAGGGACCAAGAATAATGTAATTGCTTTCAGTTTGTCCAGCCATTAGATGAGGATAGTAACAGTACCACCCCATAGGTAGTTGAAATGTGTAAAGTGCTTAGAACAGTGCCTGGCACTGTAATACTATGAAGTGTGAACCAGTGGTTCTCAATGGAATCGGGCTATTTTGCTCCCCAGAAGACACTTGGCAATGTCTAGAGACATTTTGGTTTATCACGTTGTTTGGGGCGAGGGTGTTGTTACTGGCATCTAATGAGCAGAGGTCAGGGATGCTGCTCAACATCTGACGATGCACAGGACAGTTCAACACAGCAAATAATCATCTATCTCAAATGTCAGCTGTGCCAAGGTTGGGAAATCCTGGTGTAAACTTATCGCTTTGTTGTTAGGAGCTAATGTTGCATAGTGGTTGAAAGTATGTGCTGGGGAGTCTGACTGCTTGTGAACTTGAACAGTCTAATAAGCACAAGCCTTCTCATGTGTGAAATGAGCATAATATGGATATGGGTATGTACATATTGGCACCTCCTATCTGATACCTAGAAAATGATTAGTCCATCCCTGGCTTTCCAGTGGTTAAGATGCTGTGCTTCCAATGCAGAGGGTGTGGGTTTGATTCCTGGTTGGGGAACTAAGATCTCACATGCAGTGCAGTACAGAAAAATAAAAGAAAATGATTAGCCCGGCATCTCTGCATGCTTGCTCAGTCACTCAGTTGTGTCCAACTCTTTGTAACCTCATGGACTATAGCCCACCAGCCTCCTCTATCCATGGGATTTTCCAGGCAAGAATACTGGAGCCAGTTGCCATTTCCTACTCCAGGGGATCTTCCTGGGCCAGGGATTAAACCTATGTCTCCTGAAGCTCCTACACTGGCAGGTGGATTCTTTACCACTGAGCCACCTGGGAAGTTCCAGTCCTGCATCTAATGCATAACAAATGCTCAGAGTAAAATATTGTTATACTGTTGATAACTACTAAAATGTCTTCCCTCTGGGAAGTACCCCCTCCCATGATGCTCTGCTTCTGCCTGCCCACCTCGCATGACCCCAGAGGGTGACCGGAAGGCCTTTTATGAGAGCACCCAGTGGAACATCAAGAAGAATCAGGAGACCATTAATCAACTCCGAGAGGAGACCAGGGTGCTGCAACTACAGTTGACAGACCTGCTCCAGGTAAGGTTGAAGAGGTTCCGGGGGGGGGGGGGGGGAGGCAACATCCCCAGGGGATGCTCTCAAGGAGAGGGTGGCCTGAATTTATAGTGTGACCTGGGCTCTTCTCCCTGCAGGGAGATGAAAAAGTGGTCCAGGCAGTGATTCGAGAATGGAAATCAGAGAAGCCGTACCTGAAGAACAGGACAGGCCAGGTTTGCCCCACTCCCATTCCTCTGACCACCTCCCTTCATTTCTAGCCTGGGTCCCCACCTGGCTCCCTGACCCCCATCTCACCCTCTCCAATCCCTTCTCCACACCAGCTGCCATTAATTTATTTCTCAGCCTTTATCACACACTGACCATGTGCCTGGCATGGTTTTAGGGATTGGTTGCCATACAGTGAAAAACACAGACCATGTCCCCACTCCCCAGAGTCTCTTCTTGGTGGAGAAAGCAGACAACCCCCAAGAAAAGAACAATAAACATAGAAAGAAAGTGATTTCCAATGGTGACAAGAGAAATAAATAAAATAAAAGAGTGTGGCTCACTAGAGATGGATAGGGGTTAGGGGTTTGCCATTTAGATTGTGAGGTGAGGATCTTTGCTTTCTCTAAGAAGGTGATATTTGAGCTGAGAAGGGGTCAGGCAAGTAGTGATATGGGGAAAAGCATTCCAGACAGATGGAACAGCAAGTGCAAAGTCTCTTCGGTAGGAACAAAGGTAGAGTGTTGGAGACACAAAGGAGGTCATTGTGGCAGAATAGGAGTGAGTGAGGGGGGCTCCATAGGAGGTGAGGTTGAGGGGTCAGCAGAGACAGGACCTTGCATCAGGCTTTGCTACACAAGTGTAGATTTTATACTAAGAATCAGAGAAGTGAAGGGACTTCCCTGGTGGTCCAGTGGCTAAGACTCTGCACTCCCAATGCAAGGGACCCAGGTTCAATCCCTAGTCAGGCAACTAGATCCCACATACTATAGTTAAATATCCCATGTGCTAAAACTATAGACCAGGTGCAGTCAAATAAATATTTTTTTAAAAAAAGAAAAGAACTAGAGAAGTGAAAAATGGGCTCTAAGGAAGCAAGAGTTAGAAGCCATCCAGAGGAGGTTATCAAAGTGAAGGATGATGCTGGTTACACTAGGACAAAAGAGGTAGAAATAGGAAGAAAGAGATCTATCTGGCTCAGTCACATCCAACTCTTTGTGACCCCATGGACTCCTTTGACCATGGAATTTTCCCAAGCAAGAATACTAGAGTGGGTTGCCATTTCCTCGTCCAGGGGATCTTCCTGAGCCAGGGATTGAACCCATGCATCTACTGCACTTCAGGCAGATTCTTTACCACTGAGCCACCAGGATCTCTCTTTGAGGTTTGAGGAACCTTTGAGACAGAACAGAGAATTGCTAACAAACTGGGTGTAAGTGGGAGATAAAAAGAGATGATGAGGATGACATGAACGTTTGGGACTTGAGCACCTTGAAGGATGGAGTTACCATGAGATGAGATGGGGAAGATTCAAGAAGGGCAGTTTTGGGGAAAGATCAAGGATATACTTAATTTTGGACAGATGGTTTTGAGCTTCCTGTGGAGACATCTAGAAGGCAGTGTAGATGTGGATATACAAGCCTCAGGGGGGAGGCTAAATTGGGATGTCTTCAGTGTAGAAGTGGGGCTTCCCAGGTGGTGCTAGTGGTAAAGAACCCACCTGCCAATGCAGGTAGACATAAGAGATGTGGGTTTGATCCCTGGGTCAGGAAGATCTCCTGGAGGAGGGCATGGCAACCCACTCCAGTATCCTTGCCTGGAGAATCCCCATGGACAGACGAGCCTGGCAGGCTCCAGTCCATAGGGTCGCAAAGAGTCGGATAAGACTGAAGCGACTTAGCATGCACTCATGCAGTGTAGACATGACTCCGAAAACCCTGAGACTGGATAGGATCAAGTGGTATGTGTGGTCAGATGAAAGAAGAGCCTCTTCAAAGGCAAAGGAGATGGGTAAGGGGCAGCCAGGGAGGTGAAGTGGAAAACCAAGGAGTGGAGCCCCTGGAAACCAGCCCTCCCCCCAAAAAAAGAGAATCTGCAGGAGAAGCAGGATCAGCCAGGTTTCAGATGCTCTACCAAGAGACGACAGAGATGAGAACCAAGATGTGGGAGAAGGAAGGACTAGGTACTGTTGCTCCCCTCTCTCCAGCAAGCCCTGGAGCATCTGGACTACCGGCTGAACGAAAAGGTGAAGCAACTGAATGCTCTCCGGCACCAGCTGGGACTGCGGCAGAAGTGGTTGGAGGAGCTCCAGCTGCAGCACAGTTTGCGCAAGCTGGAGATAACCGAGGCACAAGACAGCAACACCGAGGTGGCCAAGGTAGGGCCTGTGGGGTCTGCAGAGGCCTCGATCCTGCGGGAGGCACTGAGGGGGGAAGGGATCCAGCCCAGCCTTGCTTCCCTCTTGTTGTTTTTCAGTTTGCTCAGGCGTGTCTGACTCTTTGAGACCCCACAGACTGCAGCACGCCAGGCTTCCTTGTCCTTCACCATCTCCCCAAGTTTGCTCAAGCTCTTGTCCATTGAGTCAATGATGCCAACCAAACTCATTCTCTGTCACCCCTTCTCCTCCTGCCTTCAATCTTTCCCAGTATCAGGGTCTTTTCCAGTGAGTCTGTTCTTCACATCAGGTGACCAAAGTATTGGAGCTTCAGCTTCAGCACCAGTCCTTCCAATGAATATTCAGGGTTGATTTCCTTTATGATTGACTGGTTTGATCTCCTTGCTGTCCAAGGGACTCCTAAGAGTTTTCTCCAGCACCACAGTTCGAAAGCATAAATTCTTCAGCAGGCAGCCTTCTTTATGGTCCAACTCTCACATCTGTACTGGACAAACCATAGCTTTGACTATACGGACCTTTGTTGGCAAAATGATGTCTCTATTTCCCTCTAGACCATGCGGAACCTGGAGAACCGCCTGGAGAAGGCCCGGATGAAGGCAGAGGAGGCTGAACACATCACCAGCGTGTACCTGCAGCTCAAGGCCTACCTACAAGTAGGGACCAGGGCGACTGTGGGTGGGTGGGGGTCAGCAAATGGGAGGGCCAGCCAGGCTAGGGACACCGGTCGCAGGCTCACCCATCTCTCATGCCCAGGAGGAGAGCCTTCACTTGGGGAACCGGCTGGACTTTATGGAGGCTGAGGTGGTGAGGACGAAACACGAGCTCGAGGAACTGCACCTGGTGAATCAGGAGGCACTCAATGCCAGGGACATCGCCAAGGTGCCAGCCCACCAGCCCCTGGGAATCCTGCCCTGCCACTGCCGTGGTCTCCTGGCCTCAGCATCTAAACCCCAGCTGCCCCGAAACCCATCCCATCTCTGTCCCAGGACCCCACAACTCGCCCCAGTTGCTTTGAGTTGGGCCTGCAGCCCTGACCCAGAGCCCCAGTAGATGCCAACAGATCCTGCCGTTTCCCCCCCCCCCCCCCCCCCCCGCGCCATCCACCCTCCAGAACCAACTGCAGTATCTAGAAGAGACCGTGTTCCGAGAGCGCAAGAAGCGCGAACGCTACCTAACCGAGTGCAAGAAGCGCGCGGAGGAGAGGAAACTGCAGAACGAACGCATGGAGCGCAAGGTGGGCGCACCAGGGATACAGGGCTGAGACCCAGCCTACTCCTGCTTGGACCCGGACCTGCAGGGTTCCCGCCGCGCCCCTACATTGGCCCAGGCCCTAGACCCTTCGGCAGTACGGAAGTTTCTACTGACTCTGCCCCCAGCTCCCCAGATGCCAGGGCCCCTCCCACATCCCTGACCCTCCCCCGCTCCAGCCCTCCCCTTACTCTCCTGGGGTCGTCATCCTTCCCCGCCGAACTTCCCCTTATCCGACATTGATCCCGCCTCTAACCTGCCCATTACTCGGCAGGCCCCGCCCCCACGCTCTTGACCCCGCCCGCTGGCGCTGCCTCTGAGGCCTCCCTCTAACCAAGGCCCTGCCAAGCTCTCCTGACCCCTACCTGGATGCCCTGCATGCGTACATGCTAAGTGGCTTCAGTCGTGTCCGACTCTTTGCGACCCCATGGGCTGTAGCCTGCCAGGCTCCTCTGTCCATGGCATTCTCCAGGCAGGAATACTGGAGTGGGTTGCCATGCCCTCCTCCAAGGGGATCTTCCCGACCCAGAGATGGAACCTGCCTCTCTTGTGTCTCCTGCATTGGCAGGCTGGCTCTTTACCCCTAGTGCCCCCTGGGGAAGCCCTGACTTGGCCCCAACCTTGGGCCCCACCCCCTTCCTGAACCGGGAGGTATTATCCCAACGCCCATGGCCACTGCCCTAAGCCCTCAGCTGCAGACTGACCCGGGCTGTGACCCCCACCCATGAGCAGACCCAGCGTGAGCACGTGCTGCTGCAGTCAGAAGACACTCTCCAGGACAGCATGCACTCCAAGGAGGAGGAGCTGAAGCGGCGGTGGAGCATGTACCAGATGGAGGTGCTCTTCGGCAAGGTCAAGGACGCCACTGGCGTGGCAGAAACGCACGTGAGTGTACCCTCAGCCCTCAAGCTCCCAGATGGCCTAAGCCGACCCTGGGAAGCCAACACACCCAGCCTCCTTTTTCTGCCTGGTCAGTTCCTCAGTGTACAAAAAGCACCCCTCCCTCTTCCAGCTACTGCCCCGTTTCTCTGCTACCTCTCACAGCAAAACCGACACGAGTTATCTACACTGGCCACCATCCTCTCTTCTGTTCCTTTTTTTTTTTTTAATAATTTTGTTTGTTTATTTTTGGCTGTGCTGGGTCTTCATTGTTGTGTGGGCTTTTCTCTAGATGCTGGGAGCAGGGGCTACTGTCTAGTTACGATGCTTCATGGGCTTCTCCTGTTGCAGACCACAGGCTCAGTAGTTGTAATGCTCAGGCTTAGTTGCTCTGCAGCATGGGGGATCTTCCCAGACCAGGGATCGAATGCATGTCTCCTGCATTGGCAGGTGGATTCTTTGCCACTGGACCACCAGGGAAGCCCTTCTCTCCTGTTCCTGCATACACTGGCACTGACTTCTTTGGCATGTCAGCACTAGGAGAATGGGGAATGTTGTCTCTCCTCTCCTGTAACTTCAGCCTCTGTGGCAGGGTCTGGGGCCCAGTACCAGCCTCCATCCCAGAGAAGCTGGGCTCCTACTCTGGGGCCCGCGCTTGGCAGCATCTTCCTCAAAACTTTCCAAGACTTTAGGTCCCCGGCTGTGAAAGTGTGAAAGTATTAGTCGCTCAGTCACATCAGACTCTTTGCGACTCCATGGACTGTAGTCTGCCAGGCTCCTCTGTCCATGGACTTCTCCAGGCAAGAATACTGGAGTGGGTAACCATTCCCTTCTCCGGGGCATCTTCCCTATGCAGGGATCAAACTTGGGTCTCCGACATTGCAGGCAGATTTATCATCTCAGCCACCATGGACATCTCCGGGTGGTCAACACTAATTCCCCTGGATCCCTGTCTGATTTCTCTGTATGGGGCACTTTCCAACCTACCACTCATCCCATGAGGTGACCCCCAAGGAGTTCCAGGACTTGGACGTATGGGGTCATCTGGAGCGCTGTGGCCAGGCGTCTTTCCAGAAATTGGCCTTGGGGGCGGGTTGCTCCCATGACCAGTCATATTTTCTCATGGGAGTGGGCGTTGCTGGCACATTGATTTTGGAAAGCAGCTGTGCTCAGTGCTGTCACTGCCCTGACATCTGATTTTGGTTGATTCATTTTCCTTATATAGACAAAGAAGGGCGCGCAAAAATCATTCGTTCGGGGTTGCACACCCTTAAGGCAGCCCTGAGTCCAAGGCTCACAGAGTGCAGAGACAGCATTGTGCAGAAGCCATCATCAGCTCAGGCGACTTGTCCCTTGCAGCCCTGGCAAAGAAAGAGTGGGACAAGCCCCTGGCTCTGACGGGCTCTGTCCGGGCCACCCACCCCCCCAGGCAGTGGTGCGGCGGTTCCTGGCTCAGGGTGACACCTTCACGCAGCTGGAGATGCTTAAGAGCGAGAACGAGCAGACGCTGCTGAGACTGAAGCAAGAGAAGCAGCAGCTGCAGCAGGAGCTGGAAGACCTCAAGTACTCAGGGGAGGCTCTGCTGGTGAGGTGAGGCCCCATGGTGCCTGGTGGGGGTAAGAGCAGGGTCGCTGTGGTCAACCGTGCCCCAGTGGTGGTCTCCCTGCTCCCTACAGTGAGCAGAAGCAGCAGGCTGAGTTGCAGGGGCGCCTCAAGGTGGAGGAGCAGCGGCGTGCTGAGGCGCAGGATCAACTGGACCGAACCAGGAGGGCCTTGCAAATGACCAAGGAGGGCCTGGAACACCTGGCCGGCAAGCTGAACCACATCGTAGTGGCAGGTCCCACCTACGAGGAAAGCTCACCCGGAGCCTCCCTAGACGCGAGAGACAGTGCCACCCCACAGGTGGGGTTCCCACCCTGAAGTCTACTCCAGAGAACCCACCCCAGGCCCTGTTCAGGATATGAGAGGCCTGAACACATGGCAAACCCCAACCGAGTCCCAAGTCTCCACCCCCCCCATCTCAGGAGGCACCTCCTTACTACTCAAGAGGCCCAGGACTTCAGAGACCCCTGTCCCGTTTCAAATGCCACCCCCATGGGAAAGTTCCACCTAGCCCCCACATACACACTCAAAACCTAAAAGAGACCCTGCTCCAATCCTGAAGCAGGCATAGACAAGAGAGGCCCAGTCTGCCCACTGTGGAATCCTATTTCTTTTTTTTTTTTTTTTCCATTTTCACCAAAAACTTTATTGAGGAAAGTATTCACCATTTTGTTCCACTACTTTCTGCCATTTTTCAGTTGTCCTTGTTGTTTAGTCACTCAGTCGCATCCAACTCTTTTGCGACCCCATGGACTTTACCCTGCCAGGCTCCTCTATCCATGGGATTTCCCAGCCAAGAATACTGGAATGGGTTGCCATTCCTTTCTCCAAGAATTTCATTTCTTAAGGTCTTCCGGCAATGGCTTCTCTCCAGTTAATATCCCAGCCTGCCCTCTCACCAAAAGGCTCCCCCTCCCCTCCCCCTCTTCCCCCCCCCACCCCCGCCCCCCATCCCGTGGCTTGGGTCTCTGGAGTTCACAGGCATTGCCTCACAAGCGTGGCCCTTGACGGCAGAGGCCCTACACCACAGAGGGTAGCACCGCTCCTGTGAGCGGCCCCTAACTTCAAAGCCCTGCCCCTGGGTGGGGCCTCCCAGAGGCCCCGCCCCTCCCGACTCATCCGGCTCCGCCCCCAGCCGCAGGAGACGGGACGGTCTGTCGGAAAGGAGCTGGATCCCAAAGTAGATGACTATCTGCCCAACCTGCTGGGCCTGGTGGAGGAAAAGCTGTTGAAGCTACATTCGCAACTAGAGAACCACAACGTGCCAGAGATGCTGCGCCACATCGTTGACCGCGAGGTGCCCATTCAGCCAAGGGCTGGGGCGGCAAAGGAGGGGTCGGGGCAACCCCCTGGAGGCCAGGGAGGAGGCTGATGGGACGGGAATGGGCCTTAGGGACAACAGGTGAGGTTTAAGGAGCCAGGGATGAGCCAGGAGAGTTACTAGAGGTAACTCTGATAACCTGGTAACTCGGCAGGCCAGAGATCAAGGCCGCAGGGTGAGGGGGTGGGGAGTGGGAATCTGGGGTCTGCTCTCTAGAGGACAAAACTTGGGGCCTACAGACCAGGGGCGGGCCTGGGGGGGAGGCAGGGGAGGCTGGGTATCAGGGTGCACGCTGAGAACAAATGATGGGGCTTCACCCAAGGAAAAGTTTACTAGAGTGGGCAGAATTTTCCTGAGGATCCAGTGGTTAGTGCCTTCTTCGCTTCCAGTGAAAGGGGCGCAGGTTCGATCTCTGGGGAATTGGATACCACACGCCGCGTGGCATGACCCCTCTCAAAAAATTAAAAAGACCCAAAGAGGCAGAGGAGTGGGCAGAGGTGTTGAATAGCGTAGGGGTACATCTCAGAGCGGGGTGGGGAGGAGGCGGGGGCGCGGATCTCGCTGCACCCCCTGCCAACTCAAACACACCTGCCCCCTTCCCTCCTCCCCCTAGTTCTACGCCACCCTCGAGGGAAAACTGCCGTCGTACAACACCCGCATCCCTCTGCCTGCCGCCGGTCACAAGGACAAGTTCTTCGGTCAGTACGGGCAGGGAAAGGGGCGAGGCTGGGAGCCCAAGCAGTGCATCGGGAGGTGGTCAGGGGCCGGACATATAGGGCCCAGGTGGGGATGCGGTGGTAAAGGCCGGGGAGAGAAATCTGATACGGGAATGGGAATCTCGATCCCCTCCTCACCCGACACAGACGAGGAGGAGAGTGAGGAAGATGACAGCGACGTGGTGACCCGTGCGGCGCTCAAGATGCGCTCCCAGAAATTAATCGAATCCCGCAGCAAGAGGCGCGGTCGCTCGCGGAGGTCCTAGACGCGGGCTCACGCCCACCTGGCGTTTCCGAGCCCCTGACGCGGGGCCCACGGGGCCCCTTTAAGGGCTGAACGCGGCCCGGACAGGGGAGCCGAGTTGACAGGCGATGCCCAGAGCGGAGAAGGGGGCTGGGCCGCCGGATGTTCCCACAGTAAATTTCCCCAGGCTGGTCCGCGCCGGTCTCGGAATCGCGCAATAAAGGTCACCGACCAGCCTCTTGAGTATTCGCCTCTCCTTGATCCTGCACCGCCCCATAGACGGCTGCCTCTCAAATCCAGGGCCACAGCCTCAGCCGCCTCCTACCGAGTGATGACTCCCAGGGTTCAGGACACAGATTGGTCTCCTCCACCCCTCCAGAGAAACGAGATACCGCCACACCTGGGGCAGACCAGCCCTCCCCATCTGAGCAAGGGGACTGCCCTCCTGAGGACGCGGACCCGTCCCTGTGTTAGCTATACACACTAACTCCCCCACACCTGAGGACACACACACAAAAATACCCCTCCTCCGGTGGGGAGAGGTGTCCTTTCTTCGGGGTTCAGATTCACACACGTTTATCGGGAAAACCCAGACCGCTTCCCAGGAGCCTGGGTTGGGCGCTGGGGTCCAGCAGAGGCGTCCGAGAACTGTGGGTCCACTCCGCCCCGCCCCCGCACGGCCCAGCCGCCCCGCCCCGCCCCGCCGGCCCAGTGCCCCGCCACTGCTCCCCAGCCGGCCCTTCCGCCGCCTCACTCAGCGGTGCAGCGGAGCGGGCCGGGCGCGGACCATGGAGCGCACAGCAGCGGGCAAGGAGCTCGCCCTGGTAAGAGGACCTGGGGTCCCAGGACCCTACATCCCTGGAGACCCCAGGGTCCAGAAACTCCAGGCTCCCAACCGCCCCCTTGGACTCTCTCCACAAATTAGGCTCCTTGGAACAGCCTGGGGGGTTCCTACCTCGGGCCTCTGGGCCCCTGACCCAGTGAAATGGCTGGTTCCTTTTCGGGGGGAGTCTCTGAACGAATCTACGGGAGAGATCATATTCAGACTCCGTGAGACTGGACACTGGGAGGTCCCCAAAGTGCCACCCCATCCTTCCAAGGACCAGAGAGGAGGGCACCGGCGGCGCCGAGGGGACTTCCCTGAGCCTGGGCCGGGAAGGGAGGATGAAACTGGAGGGCCCAGGCTTGAGTCCACTGGAGAGGTGGGCAGTGGTCCCGGGACCCTTCGCTTCGCCGCGTCCTGAACCCGCCTTCGCGTCCAGGCGCCGCTGCAGGACTGGGGAGAGGAGACCGAGGACGGCGCGGTGTACAGTGTATCCCTGCGGCGGCAGCACAGTCAGCGTTCGAGTCCGGGGGCAGGGCCCCCGGGCACCCAGGTGAGGAAGGGGTAGGAGGCTGGGGCGGGGCGGAAGGCGACCAGGTGAGGGCGGGGCAAGTGGAGGGGCGGGACTGGGGCCTGTGGGAGGGGCGGGGCTTAGAGGCGACCTGGTAAGGATGGAGTGGGGTCTGGGGCGGCCAGGTGAGTGGGGTAGATGAGGAGGCGGGGGCAGGTGAGACCTCAGTGCCCAGCCAGGACCTGGGGACTGAACTGGAAGGCTGGGTTTAGGTAAGCCAGGTTTAGTGGGGCGGAGCTGGAGAGGGAGGAGGGGTCTTTAGAAGCTGGCCGGGCGAGGGCAAGGTTGGGAGGAGAGCACAGGAACGCGCCAGTGAAGCGCGGCAGGAGAGCTGAGAGCAGCCTGGGGGTAGGGTTGGGGGTGCCTGGTGAATAGAGCAGAGGGCGGGGCGTAGCCTGGGCGGTATGGCTGTTCCGGGCGGGTTTCGGGTGTCTTTTTTGCACAGTACAGAATAATGAACTAAGGGAGCGGGGTACACAGGAATAGACAGGGTCAGATGCAAAAGCGGTGCTCCCCAAAGACACATTGGAGATGGGTGCCGGGGCCCATTCCTCTGTGTCTCATTGCGGTCCCCCTGGCCCGCAGGCCCCCAGCCCCGCGGCCGACACCTTCCTTCATTACCGCACCAGCAAGGTGCGGGCGCTGAGGGCGGCGCGGCTGGAGCGGCTAGTGTGGGAGTTGGTGTCCGGAGACCCCGAGCAGGACCCAGGCTTCGTGCCCGCCTTCCTGGCCACCCACCGGGCCTTCGTGCCTACTGGCCGAGTGCTGGGCCTCCTCCTGCCGCCACCGGCGCCGCCCCTCCCGCCGGGGTCAGTACCAACGGGAGATTCTCCAGCGCCCACCCCAGACTCTCACCTGGATGCTGGTCTACTCTCTCTGGAGCCCTCCCTCTCCCCCCAGAACCTTCCTCCTAAGCCCTCTCCAGCCCCTCCCTTCTTCACCTGATTTGGGTGTGGGGTTGTCTTTCCAGGGTAGAAATCAAGAAAACAGAGGGAAGAGATCTGACTTTCAACAAGAACTTGAGGTTTGCCTCCAATAGGGTGGGGGCTGGGGTGGGGGGGCAGAGGTGAAAGACCGGATCTGAAGTGTAGGCGCTCCTGGAGTCTGGAGCTGTGGGATGGGCTCTAAGGTCTGCCCCTCTTGGCCAGGGCTGTGGTGTCAGTGCTGGGCTCATGGCTGCGGGACCACCCTCAGGATTTCTGGGACCCCCCTGCCCACTCGGACCTAGGCAGTGTTTGCAACTTTCTGGGCTGGGCAGCTCCATCAGGGGCTGAGGCCCGGGAGGCCGAAAAGCTGCTGGGAGATTTCCTGAAGGAGGCTGAGGCAGAGCAGGAGGAAGAGGAGCAGTCCCAGACACCAGCAGGTGAGTGGACTGGGGGTGTGATAGTGTCCTGGGGGTGTGATAGTGTCCTGAGCATGCATTCCCACCCACCCCCACCCCCGCAGGGATATTCTCTCCTCTGGAAGATCTACAGATCTTGGGAAGGTCCTTAGCCCTGTCTGAGCCTCAGTTTCCCCGCCTGTAAAATGGGGATAATAACCCAGTATTGTCATTTATCCCTCACCTCCCCCACCCAACACATGACAGCTATAAAGATATTCCATCATGGGGTCAGGATATCTTGTGTTTTTGGCTACAGATAATCCTATTGCTACTTGCCTTAGGAGCCACAGCGACCTGGGTTCAAACCCCAGTTCTGCCATTTGCTGACTGTACGACCTTGAATGAGTCACTTCCCCTCTCTGAGCCTGTTTCCTTATCTTCAGAATGGGGGCAATGACAGTACTTACCACACTGGCTTCTTCGTTCATTCAACAAATAAACTGTGGATAGGAGCTCCCTGTTCCCTGGGGAAGACAATTAGTGGGCAAATAAATAAGTAATGAGGGCTTTGCAGGTAGATTGTTTACTGTCTGAGCCACCAGCAAAGCCCAATGAAGGCTTGGCAAACAGTATTATTTTCAAAACTGTTGGATGTCAGCAAACTATCTGGCCTTTAATAGAAAAGTTTGCCAAGAATTTCCTGGAGGTCCAGTGCTTAATATATTGCACTTGTGTGCAGGGGTGCAGGGTGCAGGTTCAATCCCTTGTCAGGGGACTAAGATCCCACATGCTGAGCTTGCCAACCTCTGATGTAGAGAGCCTTGGAAGGAAGGGAAAATATCCACATACTTCATTCAAACCTTTGTTCAATTGTCACCTGCTCAGATGTGCATTCTCAGATCTCCTCCCAACAAATACAGCCTCCCACTCTGAGTCCTCTTACCTGCCTTCTTTCTCTTCATAGAATCCATTGGTCGTGTCCCCAACTCTGTCCCCAGAGTTAGTTACAAGATGGATTTGTTTATTGAATAATTGCATCCTGCTTATAAAATATCATCTTTCACCCATCTGTGTTTGATCCGATCCCTATCACAAAAGCTTCATAACCCTAATCCATTCTTTAATCTTTAGACTAAACTGGCCACATTTCTCTCTGCTTTACAAAGTAGCAGCCACTTCTTTCCCCTAGAGACAACGTCTCAGCTATTTAAATATGTTTTATCCCTTCAGCTTCTCTCTTGGTTACTAAATATCTTTCTTCTTTGCCTTCAAGATTTCTCCAGCTTATTCCAAGTCATCCAAGCTGCACCAGCTACTGAGGTAGCCACTAGCCCCATGTGGCTATTGAAATTGAAGTGAATTAACATTAAATAAAAATTAGAATCAGTTCTTTGGTCACACTAGCCACAGTTCTAGCACTCAGTAACCACACTGGGCAGCACAGGTAGAAAATATTTTCACCACTGCAAAAAATTCTGTTGAAAAGTCTACCCTAAACTGTGAGTATTTGAGGTCAGAGAAGAAAATGAACATTTATTGAATGCCAACTGTATGCCAGGCTCTGGGGACTTTAACATCTTTATTTGGGGGTTACTTTTTACCATGATTTCAAACACATACAGAAATAGAAGTAGTGTAAAGAACATTCAAACACCCCTCACTCATTTTCAACAATTATTAATTTAAAAATATTTATTTATTTGGCTGCACGGGGTCTTAGTTGTGGCACACAGAATCTCCAATCTTCCTTGGGGTATGCGAGATCTTTAGTTGTGTCAGGTGAATTCTTAGTTGAGGCATGTAGGATCTTGTTCTCTGACCAGAAATCGAACACAGACCCCTGCATTGGGAGTGCAGAATCTTAGCCATTGGACCACCAGGGAAGTCCCTCCTATGCTCACTTTTAAAAACTACTATATTGCAATACCATCTGTCCTAATATGAAATGAAAGATAATTAAATGAACTTATACCAATAATTTAAAAATAATAATATATTGCAACAGTAATAGGAAGGAGAAATAAGACAAAAGCAATTTACACAATAATGTTGGTAGGTCAGTGTCTGGGCATGCCTCACTGGAAGACATAATGAACTTGTCCAGTGCCTTCACCTGCCATAACATCACGGTGAATATGGAAACCACAGACTAATGCAGGGGAGTGTACCAATGACAAAGATGCTGTAGCATAGATGTTAGTGACGTCGATTTCCAATGGTGAACAACACTTGCAATTTCCATATAAAACAAAGTCCAGGCTCTCACAGTCCTTGCATTCCTGGATTAGTGTTTAAGAGCAGTAATTAGTGTTTATGAACAAGACTGGGCTTCCCAGGCGGCTTGATAGTAAAGAATCCATCTGGCAATTCAGGAGACACAGGTTCAATCCCTGGGTTGGAAAGATATCATGAAGAAGGAAATGGTAACCCACTCCAATATTCTTGCCTGGGAAATCCCATGGGCAAAAGGAGCCTGGCTATGGTCGACGGGGTTACAGAAGAGTTGGACACGACTGAGCGACTAAATAGCAACATGAGCAAGATAGTTGGGTTCTAGGTGCAGATTATTGTAAATAGGTTTTTTAAGGTCACAAATTTCTCGGAGGGACGTTTGGAGGCTGGGTGTTAACGATTCTTCACTATGCATGTCTGGATTTCCAAAGTGTCCCCTAGGGGGCGCCACCATTGACCACCCCCTCCACCTTGAGAAAAATCATTCATATTTATTGAGTACTTTATAGAAGTCTCTGATATGCGGGATCTCATTTGATTTTTTTAAAATCCATACTTTTGATGAATTAATAATGAATTAATGTTTTCACATTTGGACACTTTGAAAAAATAAATCCAGATGAGGAAACCAAGGCACAGAGAGGTTAAAGGCTTGTTTTAATTCACACAGCTAGCCCAGTGGATCAATTTGGATTCGAACTTGGGACATTAAGACAATGTCTTAACCTTCCCTTAACCACAAAGTTGGGCTTCCCTGGTGGCTCAGTGGGAAAGACTGCCTGCCAATGCAGGAGATGTAAGAGACAAGGGTTCGATCCCTGGGTGGGGAAGATCTGAAGAAGGGAATGGATGCCCACTCCAGTATTCTTGCCTGGAGAAACCTATGGACAGAGGAGCTTGGTGGCCTACAGTCGAACTGAGCGTTTACGCTCACCTAGTCAATGCTCCCTCAGGACCCCCTGGGACTGCCCAGATCCTCTGCCCAGACTCCCTGGTGAGCTGCCTGGAAGATGAGGAGGGCCTCGTGTGGGAAGGCCCTGAGCTTCTGGACTTCAGTGTAGACGACGTGGCGGAACAGCTGACCTTGATGGACGTGGTGAGTATTAGAGCCGGCCCGCGCAGTCAGGGGCTGGGATAGGGGACGGGTGGGGTAGGGAGGAGGAGTTGGGGGAGATCCCTCTGAGCACAGATTCCGCCCTCCTCCACCCCCTGCTCAGGAGCTCTTCTCGCGCCTGCGGCCCTTCGAGTGCCTGGGCTCCGTGTGGTCGCAGCGGGACCGGCCGGGGGCCACAAGCATCGCTCCCACTGTGCGCGCCACCGTGACCCAGTTCAACACAGTAACCGGCTGCGTGCTAGGCTCGGTGCTCGGGGAACCGGGCCTGGCCGCCCCTCAGAGGGCGCAGCGGCTGGAGAAGTGGATCCGCATAGCTCAGGTGCGTCTCTGGCGGGAGCGTGGGGCCGGAGCATGGGCGGGGCCGGGGCTCAGTGAGACGCTGGGGGCGGGCGGAAGACCAAGGACTGGGGTCTCTGCGAAAGCGGAGGTTTGAGACTGGGAGGTGCCTAAGGGAAGGACCACCACGTGGCCTTGAAAGGTGGAGGGTTCAGTTCAGTTCAGTCCCTCAGTTGTGTCCGACTCTTTGCGACCCCATGGAATGCAGCACGCCAGGCTTCCCTGTCCATCACCAACTCCCTGAGTTTGCTCATCTCATCTTCTGTCGTCCCCTTCTCCTCCTATCTTCAATCTTTCCCAGTACCAGGGTCTTTTCTAATGAGTCAGTTCTTCGCATCAGGTGGCCAAAATATTGTAGTTTCAGCATCAGTCCTTCCAATGAATTCAGGACTGATTTCCTTTAGGACTGACTGGTTTGACCTCCTTGCAGTCCAAGGGACTCTCAAGAGCAGCTGAGAGTCCTCCGTGCTGATTAAGGAATAATAAGGATGGGATGATGGGCTTCCATTGTAGCTCAGTTGGATGGGCTTCATTGTAGCTCAGTTTGACTGCAATGCAGGAGACCCTGGTTCGGCTCCTGGGTCGGAAAGATACCCTGGAGAAGAAACTGGCAATCCACTCCAGTATTCTTGCCTGGAGAACCCCCATGGACAGAGGAGCCTGGCAGGCTACAGTCCATGGGTCACAAAGAATCAGACAGGAGTGAGTGACTAAACCACCACCACAAGGATGGGATGGGGGTACTGGGGAAGGAATAAGCTTGGTACCAAGCCAAGAAAAGGAGGTGGAGGTCTTGAAAGAGCCCAGGTGGAGGTGGGGCAGGAGCCTCTAGGTAGAGAGGAAGAGTAGAACTGGGGCCCAGGAAAGAGAGTGGGGGCATGGCAAGGCAAAGGGACTAGAGGTTGAGTCTAGACGTTGACTGGAGTCTCACCTGGAGTGAGACTTAGGTTGAGGATGATGAGTCTGGAACTAGGAGAGATGCTACGGGTCCGTCTAGGGCCCAGGGAGAAGTAAGGAGTGGGGGCACGGACAGCCAAGGTCAGAGGAAGGGTATGGAGAGGTAGGTGGGGGAGGAGGCTGAATCCAGGTAGCTTGTCAGATGTGGGGTGAGATGTAAGGGCCTGACCTGGGGTCACAAATCACAGGATCAAAGGTGGATCATACTTGGGAATCAGGCAGGCTTGAGGTGTGACCAGCACCCCCTCCACCCCGCCCCCCAGCGCTGCCGGGAGCTGCGGAACTTCTCCTCTCTGCGTGCCATCCTGTCCGCCCTGCAGTCTAACCCCATCTACAGGCTGAAGCGCAGCTGGGGCGCCGTGAGCCGGTGACCAGGGACTGGGGGTGGGGGCGCTGGGGTGGGACCTCTTGCCCACTGCATCCCCGCTCTGCCTCTTCCTACGGCCACCCCTGACTCCTCTCCTGTCCTCCCCAGGGAACCATTATCCACTTTCAGGAAACTTGCCCAGATCTTCTCCGATGAGAACAACCATCTGAGCAGCAGGGAAATTCTCTCCCAGGTACAGATGGGTGAGATCCCAGGCCCAGGCCCAGGCCCAGGAAAGGGACATAGCTTGTCATTGTCCTAACACTGAGTGTCTTTTCCCATACCTCTCGAGAATGGCCTTCTTCCTGTTTGTAGGCAGCCCTGTGTTTTTACTGCCTCTGCTGCCCTCATCAGAGCTCACACTTGATGGCTGCCTTATTTATTCATTCAACAAATACCAGAAGCTACAGTGAAAAGGTCACTGAAGGTCAGAGTCACAGCAAAGAGTGGAAAAAAAATTGTGCTAAGGACTTGACTTTGATAAGCAAAACAAAACAAATTTAAAAAGTGTTCCAATGAGTCTGACTTACTGCAGGCAAGATTTAGGTTCTGACTGCAATTAGGTGCTGGTTCTTGGGGGTGAATCCAAAATAGAGACTTCCCTGGTGGTTAAGACTCTGAGCTCCTGATGCAGGGGACATGGGTTCGATCCTTGGTCGGAGAACTAAGATCGCACATACTGCAGCACAGTCAAAAAAATGCAGAATAGATGGCACTGGAAGTCTGTTCTTTTGCAAAGAATGTTCTTCCCACCCCTCTGCAGGTGTCTCACCAAATGTCCCCACCTCTGAGAGGCCCTCCCTCCGCACCTCCACTCTACCCCCATTGCCCTTATCTCTGCCTGTCCTTAGATTACACATCTAGCTTGGTTATTGCTGTTTCGCCATGGCTGATGTCTGCGCTATGAGGCCAGAAATTTTGTCTGTTTTGTTCACTGCTGCCTCTCCAGCACTCCAAACAGTGCCTGGCCCAGAGTAGGTGATCAGTAAATAAAGTGAACAAATGTCTTAAATAAGGATGAGAGCGCAAGGAACTCTGCATTAAGCACATAGTGTGGGCAAGGCAGTTTCCAGGAGGCTCAGCCATGAAGACACAAACACACTTTCCTCCCCTTGGAGGGCTTTAGGCCCCAGATGGGGACACACACAATTTAGTAATTGCCCCAGCAATTATATCACTAATTACCAGGCAGAACAATGCTGTGAAGGCAAAGTTCAGGGCATTGCTTGGGAGGGCTTGCCAGGTACAAGGATTCTCACCTGTGTTATAGGCCAGCCTTGGGCCCACAGCATCCACAAGGCACATCTCTCCTCATCCCCTGTGGGGCCTACCCCCTGCTGCTTATCTGCTCTCTCCTCCTCCTTGTTCACTTTCCCTTGGGTGTGGCAGTGATGGAGGTATCTTCTCTGACGGAGGGGTCAAAGAGACCCCAGGACTGCTCAGTCCTTCTCCTACCCCTCAGCTCAGATCAGTCACTCAGTCATGTCCAACTCTGCAACCCCACGGACTGCAGCTCACCAGGCTTCCCTGTCCATTACCAGCTCCCAGAGCTTGCTCAGACTCATGCCCATCGAGTCAGTGATGCCATCCAATCATCTCATCCTCTGTCGTCCCCTTCTCCTCCTGCCCTCAATTTTTCCCAGCACCAGGGTCTTTTCTAATTTGTCAGTTCTTAGCATCAGGTGGCCAAAGTATTGGAGCTTCAGCTTCATCATCAGTCCTTCCAATGAATATTCAGGACAGATTTCCTTTAGGATTGACTGGTTTGATCTCCCTGCAGTCCAAGGGACTCTCAAGAGTCTTCTCTAACATCACAGTTAAAAAGCATCAGTTCTCTGGCACTCAGCTTTCTTTATGGGCCAACTCTCACATCCATACATGACTACTGGAAAAACCACAGCTTTGACTAGACAGACCTTTGTTGGGAAAGTAATGTCTCTGCTTTTTAATATGCTGTCTAGGTTTGATATAGCTTTTCTTCCAAGAAGCAAGCGTCTTTTCATTTCATGACTGCAGTCACCATCTGCAGTGATTTTGGAGCCTAAGAAAATAAAGTCTCTCACTGTTTCCAGGAGGCAACTCAGGGGCCCCAAGAGGAGGATGTCCCCACAGGAAGCCTGTCCTCAGTGAGTGATACGGTTTGGGATGAGAGACAAGTGGGATTCTGGGGCAGGGGGTGGAGCGTGATGGGGTCACTGGTGGCTGAGAGTGACTGGAGCTCTGGGGGTCACAGAAACTGCCCCCAGGCCCTGTCCCCTACCTTGGCACCTTTCTCACGGACCTGGTGATGCTGGATACTGCCCTGCCGGATATGCTGAAGGTCTGAGCCCTGACTCTTGACTCCTTACCCTCAGCACAGTGGGCCTCCTGACCTCTCACCCTTGACCTTGCCCATGCTCCCTAACCTCAGCCCCTTTAGTGCATGGGGCTCCTGATATCCCTCCCCTGACCTTGATCCTCGACCCCTGACCTTGGAGTCTGAACTGTCTCCAGTTCAGACAAAGTTTGCCCTCAGGGGGATCTCATCAACTTTGAGAAGAGGAGGAAGGTAAGGGGGAGCTGCGGTGGGCAGGGGTGGAGGTGGGGAGGGGGTCCAGGGTTGGGGCAGAGCATGTGCGGGGGTCTCAGAGGCCGCCCCCTCAGGAGTGGGAGATCCTGGCCCGCATCCAGCAGTTGCAGAGACGCTGTCAGAGCTACTGCCTGAGCCCCCGCCCGCCCATCCTGGCCGCCCTGCGTGCCCAGCACAAGCTCAGCGAGGAGCAGAGGTGACAACTTGTGGCCTGGTCTGACAGCGCCCCCCCAACCCTGCCACTGATCCTGGATGACACCCCCGATCCACCTACCCCATGCACCGCCCCAGCTCCTCCTAAGATCCCCTCCTGAGCCTTCACGCCCCCCAGCCAGCGTGTCACCTGACATTGTTTCTCTAGCCCAGTCAAGGACCCCAGTTGCCCTCTGACCCCAAACTTTGACCTCATCTGACTTTCTTTTCTTTCTATTTTTTTTAAAAGTAGTGTTCTTTATGTTTGGCTGTGCTGGATTGTCACGGCTGCTCGGGCTTTTCTGTAGTCGCAGTGAGGGTGGTTCCTCTGTTTCTGGTGCGCTGAGTTCTCACTGTGATGGCTTCTTCTGCTGTGGAGCACGGGCTCTAGGCACACGGGCTTCAGTAGCTGTGGCTCCTGGGCTCCAGAGCGCAGGGTCAGTAGTTGTGGTGCCTGGGCTTAGTTGTTCCACAGCCTGTGGGATCTTCCCAGACCAAGGATGGAACCAGTGTCTCCTTCATTGGCAGGCAGATTCCTTACCACTGAGCCACCAGGGAAGCCCTCATCTGACTTTCGGACTTCAGCATTTAATGTGTAGCTAGCTGTTCCACTCAACCAGCCTATCTTTTCTCTTCCCCACCTCTGACCCAATCTGACCTGTGACCCGCCTCTGACTCTCTGAGCCCAATCATTGACCCCCGGTTCTGAGCAACTGACTCCAACTTTGACATATATCTGACTTATGACCCCCAGTCAGTTGACCCCAATTCGACTGTACCAACTCATTCTATTGAATCCATGACCCCAGTGATTATCTGACCTTGAACGCAATTTGACCCAATTTGACTCCTCAGTCCCACTCTGTGAATCCCTATGTGTCCTGCTAACCAAGCCATCTCATCTAATCCCTGATAAGACTCTGAAACTGTAATATCCACATTTATTACCCTGATCTTGACATTGGGTGCCTAATTCCTGGCTGTACCCTCCCTCCACCCACACACACACCCCCAAAACCCAGCTCCTGACTGAATCTGATTCATTTCCCAACCTACCCATCCATCTACAACTTGACCCCTCAGCTACCGCATCTCCCGGGTCATCGAGCCACCAGCCTCCTCCTGCCCCAGCTCCCCACGCATCCGACGGCAAATCAGCCTGACCAAGCGCCTCAGTGCGTGAGTCGCAGGGAGTATGTGGCGGGTGACGTGGGCAGGGATGGGATCTGCTCCTGGGTTGGGTTTGGTCTCCGCCTCATCCCATTCCCTATTTTCAGGAAGCTGTCCCGGGAGAGAGTTTCATCCCCTGGTGGGAGTCCTGGGGACCCCTCATCCTCCACCTCAAGGTGAGCATCCCATCTGATGAAGGGACTGGAGAGGGGTCAGAGTTCAGGGCAGCCACCCCACTTCAGACTCTGTGTCTCCCCCAGTCTGTCCCCAGCATCCCCTCCATCTAGTCCTAGAACCAAGGACCCTCCTACGGGAAGTCCTCCAGCCTCTCCAGGGCCCCAGAGCCCAAGCACCAAGGTACCAAGACTATGTGTACATGTAGGACTGCGGGCACCCAGGGCTGGTGTGTGTGTGTGTGTGTGTGTGTGTGTGTGTGTGTGTGTGCGTGTGTGTGTGTGTTCACATGCGCACGCACAGGATTTCACAGCCAGGTATGTGCACAGGAGACCGGAACACAGTTGACTCAGCACTCTGAGCGTATGTCTGGGAAACTGCATGCATCTCCATGGACTCACATAAGGGACTGTCCGTCACCTACACTCAGATCTGGACAAGAGCTTCCACTTACCCACGAGGCACTCTGGGGTGCAGTCACTACTTTTGTAAGGATATGTGTTTTCCCAGGAATGGGCTTCCCTGGTGGCTCAGCAGTAAAGAATCCGCTTGCAATGCAGGAAACACAAGAGACACATGTTCAATTCCTGGGTCAGGAAGATCCCCTGGAGAAGGGCATGCGACCCACTCCAGTCTTCTTGCCTGGAGAATCCCATGGACAGAGGAGCCTGGTGGGCTGTAGTCCATTGAGTCGCAAAGAGTTGGACACGACTTAGCACAGACACAGGAACTTGCATACCTGGAGGGGAAATGCTGGCATGAGTAGTCTTAGTATCCATGGGCCCTGTGCAGGGCTTTTTGTGTTCATGGGCTTGTGCCCATCCAACAATTGTGAGCAAATGTGGGCACTCGCTGCTCTCAGGTTACACTGGGTTTCTTGTGTGTGAACACAAGTCACATGTGAATTCCTGTAACAGCATGAAGATCTGTATGTGATGGGATGGCATAGATGCGGGCTTGTGTATGTACCCTAAGTGCATGTCCCCAGGCTTGGGGTATGCAGGAAGATGTGTTGAATACAATGAGGGAGGGGACTCATGCTCTCCCCCTGCTCAGCCCCCACCCCCACTGTCTACAGCTGCCCCTGAGCCCGGACCTGCCAGGCCCCTGGCCCCTGGCCCTGCCCTTGAGTGGCCCTCATATCTCCCTCCCTGGGCAGCAGGGCTCAGAGGCCCGTGTCATCCGGGTCAGCATCGACAATGACCATGGCAATCTATATCGGAGCATCTTGGTGAGGAGCTGAGCCTGAAGCCTGCTGGGGACAGCCCTGCCCTTGGGACTTGGGTGGTCATCCCTTACCTCCCACCCTCTCTTTCCAGCTCACTAGTCAGGACAAGGCCCCCAGCGTGGTCCAGCGAGCCTTGGAAAAACACAATGTGGCCCAGCCCTGGGTCCGGGACTATCAGCTCTTCCAAGTCCTTCCTGGGGACAGGGGTGAGCAAGGACAGCTTGGAGCCTGGGCTAAGGGGCGGTTGGCTGGGGAGGATGGCAGGCTGACCAGGGTGGTTCTGGAACAGAGTAGGGGTGAGATGCAGCAGGGTGGGGTTAAGAGGCAGAAAAATATTCATGCCTCCCTTAGGTGGGATCATGAGGTTGTCCTAGCTGAGTGTGAGGGAAGGGGCCACCAAAAGTGTCTTCCTAGGATTTATGGGGAAATGAGATTGTCTGGGAACCTGTGGGAGAGAGAGTATAGAAGGTCATCTGGGCTTTGATTTGTAGAATCGTGAGGTTGTTTGGGCTCAGCCTCCTGGAGCACAAGACTAAAGGGGGGGTCTGGGCTTGGATCTGAGGGGAAATAAGTTTCTCCAGGTTTGCTATGGGGAGTCTGAAGTTCCTTGAACTTGGCATAGGAGAGGGCCACGTGGTACTGAAATTCAGGGTAGGAAACATGAGATTGTTCAGTGTAAAGTGAGTAGGAAGTTGTCTAGTTTTAAAGGGAGCGAGGTAACAGGGAACTATATAGAATATCCTGAGACAAACCATAATTGAAAAAAATATGTAAAAGCATATATGTGGGCTTCCATGGTGGCTCAGATGGTAAAGAATCTGCCTCAGTTCAAGAGACCAGGGTTCGATCCCTGGGTTGGGAAGATCCCCTGGAGAAGGGAATGGCAACCAACTCCAGTATCCTTGCTTGGAGAATCCCATGGACAGAGGAACCTGGCAGGCTACAGTCCACAGGACTGCAACACAACTGAGCGACAAACAGTTTCACTTTTTTCACATACGTATATATGTATGAATGACTGAGTCACTTTGCTGTAGAGGAGAAATTAACAACACATTGTAAATCAGCTGCACTTCAATTAAAAGTTTTAAGAAATGAAAAAAAAATATATATATAAAGGAGGGAGAGGCAAGACATTGATATGCTAGGGAATTCCCTGGCAGTCTAGTGATTGGGACTCCACGCTTTCACTGCTAGGGGCCTGGGTTCGATCCCTGGTTGGGGAACTAAGATCCTGCAAGCTGTGTGGTGCAGCCAAAAGAAAAAAAAAAGACTGATATGAAAGGGATATATGAGGCTGTTCACATGACAAGTGCGAGGGTTGTACAGGCTGGAAGTGGGAAGTCAGAAGTTGTCCTAGTTCATGGTGAGAGCAGCATGAACTTGGCTGGGACTTGGCTGCAGGGGAGAGTGTGGGGTGAGCAGGAAGTTGATTGGGGTGGGAGGCCTGACTTTGCTCAAGCTTCTAGTGCAGTTGTCTAGAGTCCAGGGGAAATAGGAGGAGGTTGCCCAGGTTCATGGTGGGGGGGACATGAGGTTGTGCAGGCTTGGAGTGAGAAGTTGTCTAGATTCCCAATGAGAGGGGAATGAGGTTGGCTTAGCAGTGGCTGAAAGGATCCAAGATTGTGCAGGCTGCATGGTGAGTGGTAGAAGGTTCCCTAGGTCCTTTGTGGGGGAAGTGCCAGGTTGTGTGGGCCTTTCACCATCTTCTCCATGCTTGGCCAGAGCTCCTGATTCCTGACAACGCCAACGTGTTCTATGCCATGAGCCCAGCCGCCTCTGGAGACTTCGTGCTGCGGCGAAAGGAGGGGGCCCAGCATACAACCTCAGTCTCCCTACCCCCTCATCCAGGACATGGGCCTCATGGGCAGCAAGGGGTCTGGCTTCTATCACCAGGAGGCAGGGAGGGGGCTCCTCTATGAAAAGCTCCAATTCCCCAGTAGAGGTCATTGTGCTCCATAACCTGTAACACCCCCCCCCCACTGCCAATTTTATTGGACCTCACCCCTCTGACCCTCTTGGCACCAGATCCCTATTCCAAAGACACCAGCCCATGGGGTGGCTGGTGGAGAGCTTCATCTTATAGAAAGGGGTGGGGTGTCAGGGGTCAGATCCTCCCCCAGAGAAACCTTGTAACTGTTGGAGAAAAAAATGACAAAAATGGATGAAAATAGTGACCAAAGTTATAAAACAGGAGTCAGTCTTCTTTGTTCTGCGCCTGTGCCCCAAGTCCACTCTTCATTAGGATAAAAATTTAAATAAGAAAAGAAGGGTTTCCCCGGGTAGCTCAGTGGTAAAGAATCCGCCTGCCAATACAGGAGACATGGGATCCATCCCTGGTCTGGGAAGATCCCACGTACTGTGCAGAAACTAAGCCCATGTGCCACAGCTATTGAGCCTGTGCTTCAGAGCCTGGGAGCCACAACTTCTGAGCTCATGTGCTGCACCTCTGAAGTCTTCAAGCTCTAGAGCCTGGGTTCCACAAGAGAAGCCACCACAATGAGAAACCTGCGCGGTGAGTGGCCCCCACCTGCTGGTTAAAGAAAATCCTGTGGAGCAATGAAGACGCAGCACATCCAAAAATAAATAAATAAAAATTAAAAAAGAAAAGAAAAACTAAGAGCCCTAAGAAAGGTGTTGAGTGAGGCGTGGCTGACACCAGCAGGGTGTGGGGGTGGGGTTCTGTCACAAACAGAGGGTTCAGGACTCTGTCCCTCAACATTGTTGGAGTAACGTAATTCTTTTCTGCTGTGTATATGGAAGAGGGAAGAAATTAAATTCCATCAGAGCTTGAGACAAATAACGTCATCATGTGAAACACAATCATAACAACAACAGCAACAACAATAATAACACCCAATGATGAACTCCCACTCTGCTAGACATCAACTATGGGCTTTATATCTAACTGTATTAATAAGGGTTCTTGCTTTTTCAAGTGGTCAAAAACCCAATTCAAACAGGTATGGGCAAAGAAACGGAAATGAACGCCCCTGTAATTGAAACGTTCCATAGGGCCAGCTTCAGGCACTGTTGGATCCAGGGACTCAAAAGATGTCACTTTGTAACAGAGTCTCTTGCCTCTGATTTGCTCTGAGAATGAGACTGCCCATTGACTCCCTAAATCCAGTCACCTCCTCCTATGGTTACAGAAACACTGATTTTTCAGCTGGCTACCCAGGGTCAAGACTGCATTTCCAGTCTCCCTTGCAGTGAAATGTGGTCATATGACTGTCTCAGCCAGTGAGCTGTAAAAGGGAAAGGATGTGGGTACATTCCAGGCTCTGCCCTTAAAGAGAAGGGGTGTGTCCTCTCCTGCCTTTTTTTGCCTTGGGTTGATTAGAATGAAGATATGGAGTGAATCAGCTTGGACTGGGTGGTTCACACCATCTGAACAACTGATCTGCAAACTGGAAGGATCATGGCCCTCTGAGACCAGGGAGCAAACATACTGTAGTGCTGCTCCTTGAATTGTTACAGAAGAAAATAAATACCTATCTCAGGACTTCCCTGGTGGTCCAGCAGCTAAGACTTTGAGCTCCCAATGTTGGGGGCCTGGGTTCCATACCTGGTCAGGGAACTAGATCCCACGTGCTGAACACCACAACTAAAGAGCCTGTGAGCTGTGATTAAGACCTAGCACAGCCAAATAAAAACATATTCTTCTTAAATGCCCAGCTTATTTAAGCCATCAGTATCATTTGGGTCTCTGTTACAGTAGCCAATTTTACAAAAACTTACAAAATGAATATTGCCCCACTCCAAGGCAGGATCACCCTCATAGGGCAATGCCAGTCTTACATCCCACCAGTTCCACCTGCCATGCAAGGAGAATCCCTGGGGCTTCCCTGGCAGTCCATTGGTTAAGAATCCCCCTTGCAATGCAGGGGACACGGGTTTGATCTCTGGTGAGGGGACTAAGATTCCATGTGTCTCAGAGCAACTAAGCCTGAATGCCACAACTAGAGAATCTGTGTACTCACAGATCCCACATGCTACGACTAAGACCTGATGCAGCCAAATTAATTCATTTAAAAAAGCAATTGGATGTAAGTAACAGTATTCTTAAATTGTTATTGTTGTTGTTCAGTCACTAAATCATGTCAGACTGTTTGCAAACCCCATGGACTCCAGCACAATCTTCCCTGTCCTTCTTAAATTAACTTAAGCAAATAATTGCTATCCTTATTGAGTGTTTACTGTGTGCCAGGCATGTTCTCATAACTTGATGTAATCTATTCATAATCCTCACATAAGCTTTATGAGGGGGCATTATTATCATGCTCATTTTATACAGGAAAACTGAGACTAGGGAGGGTTAAGTAACTTATCTAAGGTTGCAGGGCAAGTGACACGTGGAATGCATCAGAACACACGCTCTCACCCAGGGAGCGAGCTTGCCTCTCAAAAGAAGTTTACAGTTTCTGCCTCTCTCTCTCTCACACACACACATACACACACAAACACACTCAATACAAATGCCAATTTCCTGAGGAAGAGATTCTCATTGACTTCTGTTTTTTTGTTTTGGTTCCACAGCAAGGCATGTGGGATTTTAGTTCCCCTCAGTTCAGTTCAGTTCAGTTCAGTCGTTCAGTCGTGTCTGATTCTTTGCAACCCCATGAATGGCAGCACGCCAAGCCTCCCTGTCCATCACCAACTCCAGGAGTTCACTCAAACTACTAGAAACCAAATCCACGCCGCCTGCAGAAGCACTGAGTCCTAACCACTGGACAGCCAGGGAATCCTGCCACTTCTGTTTTTAAAAGTGGAGGAGGCTTTAAAAAAAAAAAAAAAAGGTGCAGTAGTACTCAGGAATAGCTCTCTCCAGTGGCTAACGCAAGGTCAGCTGTCTCCCTACACCTCTCAGCTTGGTTTTTCACTCATCTGTTACTCCACAAATATTTCCTGACCTCCTACTGTATGCCAGGCTCTGCTGTAGGTGTTGGGGATATAGTAATGAACAAAACAGACTAATGAAGGTGGTGAATCAATAACAAAACATCAAATACATATTACATATTTAATACAAAAAGTACAGGGAATGCAAAATGCTGCTGCTGCTGCTGCTACCAAGGCATTTAAGGACTGACGTGGGCGGGGGGCGGGGGCCGCGGTGGCGGTGAGAGGGTTGCTATTTTAAACAGGAAGATCCAGGAGGACTTCATTGAGGAAATAACATTTAGTTAGAGTCCTGAGTAAACTGAAAGTGAGCCGCATGTATATTTAGAGGAAGAACCTTGCAAGTGGAGGGAACAGACAGCGCAGAAGCCCACCTTAGCTTCACCATCAGCCGATTTTTTTCGTCCTAATGACAAAGGTGTCTCTGACTACTCTATCTGCCTACCACGCCATCCAATAGAAAGCGGCACCTCCTTTCCTAGCTACTCCAGGAAAAGTCCCAGAATGGAAGCTCATTGGATCCCCTTGGGTCACATGCCACCCCTGAACCAATTACCGTGCTCCAGGGAATGGAACTCTCTGATTGGCTAATCTGGCTGACGCAATAAGGTAGGTATCCCCCTGCTTCCCCAGGCATGTATCTCTTTGGGTGGGAGGGTGTTTACCCCAGTTGAAGCTCAGCCCAAGAGAACAGCTTTTATGATTTGTTCTATACTTTCTAGATTATCGAAAGAACTGCACGTTCCTTGTAAAATAAAATCCCAAGAGTATACAAATATAAGCAGAAAAGAAAATGCCCCCAAATCACAAATAAAATCTCGCATTCCAGAATACATATAATTTTTACAAATGCAGGCTCTTTCGTACTTACTATCTGGCAGTACTTCCCAACATTGTGCAAACATTCAACGGCTACTATTAGGCTTATTATATTCCTACCCAGACTGGGAAGAGATGTTGATTAGTACGATAATATCAGTAGTTGTAGTTTACATTTTTTGAATGCTTGCTATGTGCCAAGTCGGATTTTATAGATTAAAAGGCTGAAGCTCAAATAAGGTAAGTAACCCGTCCAGGGTCGCACGGCAAGAAAGTGTGTCTGAGGCAGAAAACAGAGCAGTTCCCTCCACCCGCAAGGGGGTGCGGAGCCCAGGGCCCTTGCTCTCTGTAGCCAGGCCCCACAGGGCGGCTGCCTCCCTCTTATCTCAGCTCGGGCTGCCTGCTGGTCCCGCCCCCTCGGGGGAGCTGCCACTTGGAGGCGCCTGGCCGGGAAGGCCTGGTCAGCTGTGTCCGGCGGAGGCAGCTGCTGACCCAGCTGTGGCCTGTGCCAGGGACGGAAGAAGTGGCGGGGGGGCCGGAGCCCTGGGCTCCCGGCGGCAGGGGCTACATTATGTATCATCTCCCGGCACCCCTCCGGCCTGGAATTGGCTTCCTCTGCCTCTTGCTCGCTGGGGCAGCCTGGGCTCCCCCACCCAATCCACCGGACCCCAAGTTTGAAAACAAAGGTAAGGGTGGAGTTGAATGTGAACCCCACCACTGGATCTTGGAGGGCAATCTTGGGGCCCGAACTTCCTGCCCGGATCCTTGGGGGCATCCAGGTTCTCATTCTGAGTCTGTGACTTGGGGCCCAAGATGGTGTCTGAACCCCTAGACTGGGATCTCATATGGCATGCTGGGGTCTATATCCCCAGACTGGGTTCTGGGGGAGAAGCTAGAAGGGGTCGTAAGAGTCCTGCTTTCTCTCTTCAACGAGCTTGGGACGTGCTAAACGCTAAATGGGGCAGGGGTGGTGCTGTAGTCTCGAGTTCCGTTTTCTAGAGTCCCTGAGCTAAGGGGATCTAGCCGACCCTCCAGGCGGGGAGGGAGGGTAAAACCCGAGTCAGAGGGGCCGAGTCGCAGGCGACTGTAAACACGGTTGGCATGCAGGCGCCAGATCCCTGGGTCTGCGGGGTTGAGGGAGGGGAACGGGGGGCACGGTTGGCGCTATCGGGCCGCCGGGAGCCTGTCGGGGCTGATAGGG